TTTTATAATCATTCAGGAACTTGCTTAAAGGGTAAGTTCTTTTGAGATTTTAGTAAATGATGGACATTATCATTACAAATCTTTGTTCACTCAACTAACTTGGGAGCAAAGTCATTGACCTGTTGACGAAAGCGGCAGAAGAGATTGGCATTCTAAAGACAGGTGCAGTAGGACGCAAGTCCCACTACCCTCGTAAAATTGCTAGACTGTTAAGCGCAGCACGAAAGGCAAAGGATGTATATCTCTCTATCAATAAATCAACCCAAACACCTCAGTCAACAGGGCAATGACTTTTCTCACAAATGATCTAAAGTTGATTAAAAGACCTGACACCCTTTGTGTTCTACAAGCAGAAGTTTTCCATGAAAATTGATTTAGAAAGAAAGTCAAGGCACAAAGGGGGAGTACAATTTGAATTACAAAACTCAAATGATTATACTCTCATCATCAGAAAAACCTATCCCATGTTTTTGGAAAGTTGAAGATGCACCACCAGCTTACTGTGCAGCAAGAATAACAAGCGGAATCTGTCGCATTGTGAAGTTTGTTTCACGGACAGATCCCGCTGGTTATTCTTGCTGCACGGCAAGTTGGTGGTGCATCTTCATCCTTCCAAAAACAGGGGACAGGTTCCCCGGATAATAGGAGTATAACCACTCAAGCAAGAGTTTGATGAACACTCTGATGAAGCACGTATCATTGCGATTTTTGTTCACTCAACTAACTTGTGAGGAAAGTTATTGACGTGTTGACTGAGGTGATTGAGTTGAGTGACAAACACGTATTTGGTCAACAAAGACATGTTTTGTCACTCAATTCAACCACCTGAGCCAACAGGTGAATAACATTGCTCACAAGTGAGTTGAACGGTCAAAAGTCCTGACACATTTTTCATTCTACAAGCCAAATTTTTCCTTGAAAATTGAAGTAGAGAGAGAGGCAAAAAACCAAGGGGAGGAAAAAAGGAATGGGTTCTGATGATGCCTTATCACCTTGTCAACCATCAAACTCTGATCAAGCACTTGTGTCTTTCATGGACCCTTCAGCATCTTACCTATCAGCGGAACTGCAGTCTGTTCCAGACGTGTCGAAAAACCAAAACAAGTTCTTATCAGAATCATTGAAGATCACCTGACAAGACCTGGATTTGTTTTTTCGATGCGCCACAACAGACTGCATTTCCGGTAATAAATATTACACAGGAAGGTCCATGGATGGATCAAGTCCCTGATCAGTGTTTGATGAACAAAGAGGTGACAAAAGATAAGTAGAACCCATGGATGGTGCCATATGTGGAGTTTGGAGATGCACATGGCAAAGTGATAATGAAAGAGGAAACTGAGGAACAGGAGACTGTGTGGTCAAATCAGACATGGTATATAAGGCAAACAGTTGCAGCGGCCAACTTGTGGTATGTGCACATATGCTTATGGTGGTCACATGAGTCACAAACCCTAACCCCTAGCCATACATTCTTCTCAAATTAGTTATACTTGGTGAAAAGACCTGACACATAAGAACCAGTGGTGTGTTCTTGTATAATGACATCATAGATAAAATACGCAGCCTGAATTAATATGAAGTCAATTGGGAAGAAGTGTAGCAATTGCAGTCAGAGCATCATCAAGTTTTGCAGAGCTGGGTGATATCCCCAGGGCCAGTTTTTCAAGGGGGTCATAGTGCTTCAAGAAAGCACTTTCATAACAGTTTTCTGGAAGGTTAGCACAGACAGTTCCAAAGGGGTTGACTGTATGGCCTTCTTGACGCCTAGTATCTAATCTGCGGGCGGGATGAATCCTCAGCTTGATAGTGGATTGATCTTGATAGGATAGCCGGTCCACTTCATGTAGCCAGTTGCCATACTTGACGCTACGCCATGCTGGACAAATCGACTTCTGGATGGGTCGATGTGGGTCGTCTTCTGTATCAGAACAGCAGTCTGCATCGGGTAGGAGGTCAAGAAATTGCGGAAGATGTTGCTGAAGAGTGGCTTTACGGTATTTCCAGAGCTGAGTAGACATATTATCAGAAACGGACTGGAGAATGCCTAAAGGCATAAACATGACTTACATCTCTTCTCTTTTTGCTCCGGGTCCTTTGTTCAACCTTGGATGGATCTCGAAATCTTCTCTTGATTTCTTCAATCCGCCCAATCACCCAGCGAGTCATGATCCCAACTTGGACAAGGTCATTAGGGTTGTCTTGATCCAGTCCAAAATTCTCAAAAGCAGAAGCAGCTTTGGCAAACTTCCAATGCTTTACAGTAAAAAAAATCATTGTTTGATTCCATGTACTTTTTTCACCATTGTCCGCTTTCCATTCAAAGGTGAAATTATCATCTATTTGATGATTCGCCAGGTCTTTGAGGAGCAGAGTCTTGAACGGTGACCAATCAGATTTAACTGAATGGGCTGAAGCATTATAGGTGGTGAAGACTGAGGTATCTTGTAAGATCATTTCCATAGTCAGAGTTGGAAGATTCATAAGTTGATCATCGCCAGGTGAATCAGGATAAACTTGGTGTGTTTTGGTGTATCCAAGTATAAATCTTGCAAATTCAGAATATGATTTACAGATTGGCTGGTTATGACCGGGGAGGTGAGCGCTCAGAGCCTTGTTCTTTGCTTTGCGGCTCTTTGGTGGTGCTCCATTCACCCAACCACTTGAGCGTTTATGAGTGGGAGATGCTGAGATCGTAAAGTGGAGTCATGAGTTTGCAGCTTTTGAACCAGAAGAACTGAAGAGGTCCTACCCATTTAAATGTGTGTTGATACACAAGATTACAATTTGTCCTTGTTTGATTTGATGGAGAATGATCTGAGGTGATGTTGATGAAACAAGAGAAAGTGATGGTCAAGAAGGAGGAGGCCACGAAAGAGGAGTGCAGCCTGAGACACATTTATACCTCTACCCCTACTTTCCTGCTTCTTCCAAAGGCTTCTGCACTGGTTGAGGACATTTCCAAGCTGTGACACTCTCAAAAACATCAAGTGTCAGGCTTCTGACCCCACTTTGTATCCTTGATGAATCCAGTAGTTCTAGTTCAGATGTGATTCAAATATTGTGCAGATGTACTAGGGGACAAGTCAAAACCACTTGGTGCGGTAAGCACGGATGGGCAAGGTCTTGACATACATGAGAAATATGTTTCAGTGTTTGACTTTTTTTGACACAAGCACAAGAAAGAAATGACATTTTTACAGGTCTTTTTGTTCAACTTATGATACCGTTTGATTCAACAACAAAAAATATATATAAAAGAATCAATAAAAAAATTTGAACAGATTTAAGCCCAACACCCAATAAACATATGAAACAAGTAAACACTCAATATAAAACAGGATATGATATTTTGTACATATTTTTGTCCAACACCAAAGAAAGAGATGATTTTTTTTCAGCATTTTGCACCTCCTGAGATTTTTCCAATATACAAGTAAAAAAAAGAGAAATATAATTTGATAATGATTGAGATGATTCTATAAAATACCCTTCACAGAACCTTGAAAGAAAACAGATTTTTTTGATAATAATTGATATGATTCAATGAATAACCTTTGGAAATTCCTATGAGGCAACTGCCATTGCGTACTTGTTTCCAACCTTTCTCATCAAATGCTCATTGAGGGTTTGGAGCTCAATGTGCTTCTCAGACAACTCCAGGCCCTCAACTTCCAGCTCCCCAAGTTGATTCAGAAATTCTTCTCTAATTAAGCACTTGGGAAATCGCTGTGGTGGGAGTTGGTCTTCCGGATTGATAGCAGCAGGTGAGTATTCAGCCCTGGCTGCCTGAAACTTGGCCGCATTGGTCTTCTGGGCCTTTGTTGAGTCTGGGTTCTTTCTGGCCATTTCGTCAGCAAGGTGAATCAATTGATCCAGCTCTGGCTTTCTCCAAGCTAGCTTGATTTGACGTCGATGTGCCGGCTTTGCTGGGGTTGCAGGGACCGTCTCAGTGTCTGAATGCACTTCGTCCATTACTAGGAGTAGTTGATGGGTGTCTGTGAAGCCTTTGATGTGTTTCGAAATGGCTTGTAAGCGTGATTGAGCAACCTAAGGCTTTCACTGGTCAGTTCTCAGTTCAGTCAGAATCAGAGAAGCAGCGGAAATCATTACTTTTGTCCTTAAGGCCTTCATAGCTTTCCTGTCCTTAGATTCAACCACCTTCTTAGCATATTTTTCAGCTCCGCCCGGGGTTGCTATGAGTGCCTTGTCTTTTTCCTCCTGACTATATTTGGCGCGCTTGCCACTTAGCCACTTGGTGAGGATTTCTTTGGCCAGCTTGGGGGTTTCGTCAGACTGTGGGATATCATAGTAGGCAGGGACTCCTCTGGCATTATAACACTCCAGCCAAGCCGCCAGAAGACAGTTGAGTACAGCCGAGTTCCAAGGAGTGTTGATAGTATTATTCCATTGGAGCGTCAAACGTGGGAATCCGGCAGCGGCCAGAGAAGCTTCTGCTAGAGCTAATCTACTTGGTTCATAACTCTGCACAGAAGTAGTGGCAAGAGCAACCCTGGACATGAATCCTTTTTTAGGGGCCCTGTTGGCCCATTCCGCAACTACCTCCTTGGTGACTATTTTCTTGAGCTCTGCTTTGTAAGTATTGGATGCTTTAGGGTTGGTGGCAAGCTTCTGAGCCATCTTTTGTTTAATTTCGTACTCTATAAAGTCCTCACAATTCTTGTTGTGAGAATTCCAGGCTTCCACTTCAGTAATTTTGGCTGGTGCTGGCAGGTGGTGCTTGGTGATTTGACTGACATCAACTTGAGAGGAGGAGGGGGAAGTGGACTGGCGGGGGAGGCCCAGTAGTGCCCTGGCCCACTCATGAATAGCTGCAGTGAGGCCTGGCGGAGCTGCAGTTTTGGGTGATTTTCTTAAGCGTGATTCTTCAGCCTTTTGCTGTCTGTCAGCAGCCTTCTTCTGCCCATCCTGCATCCTCTGATACTTGGCTGCAGCTGTTTGCTCAAAAGTCAAGCCTTCATCTTCTGTTTGATGGCCTGAATGAAATAATGAACATGTTATTGACCACCCTCTTGTCAAATATATATAGATAGGTGGGTCAAAAACAAACCATGAAGACAATCCATCAGTGGATCCCTGGGTGCAGGTCCTGCTGGGGCGCCTGCTGGGGCGTCTGCTGGGCAGTGGTAAGATGATCATCACCATCAAGCAGGTGGGAGGGAGGGGATGCATTCAGAAAAAAGATGCGCCAAAAGATAGATGGGACATGGAAATGAAGCAGGGATGATTGTGAGAAATGTCAGATGGAAAAGGTAGAAGTCAAAGTGAACAGAGATACACAAACAATGAGAGCCAAGTCAGATAGGAATGATTGGAGGCAGACGGAGAAAGAATTGAGTTTGGGATTCAATAAGAAAGTAAGGAAAAAAGGACCCATTCAAACATATGTATATGTATATTTGGACGGTACCAGGGAAGAGACAGAGATATGTATATCAAAAAGACAAGCCAGAGCAACAGGTGAAAAATCCCAGGTAGTGAGGTCATGACAGCATCCCAAATTTGATTATAAAGATGGGGGACATTTGAGTTCATGAGAAGAATCATGAGGAAGTAGGTACCAGAAATGAGCGTGAGAGAAGGAAATAAGTTTTAAATATACATCAACCACAAGTCAGCCATTGTCATTTGTCAAGTTGGAAAAGACCAGTACTGCTGACCTTCTCCTGAGCTCATGATTGTATGGGTGTATTGGGAATTATATTGATGAATCAGTGGTGGAGGTCTTTTGATGATGGAAAAATAATTTAAAGAGGATGAAAGTGGCTGGGTAAGTCAGCCAAGAGGGCACAGGTTATATATGAGAAACTCCCTTTGTGATTGAAGATGACAAAGGCAGTAGTGCCAGTCAAAGGGAGGCAGCTTACCCACCTCTGTAGCCAAACAAACTGATACTAACTGAAGTTGGTTGAGAGATACTGTCAGGGTTGACAATATGATTTAGTGAGAGTCATATTTGCTTGATTCACATGCCACAACATGAAGATCTGTATGTGCTACATTGATGAATAGGAAATATTACATTTAACCTGTGGCTTGTACAAGCTGGCTTTGTGAATAATCTGCTCCACGTTGGTTGCAGTGAAGGGTGCATGTCACTACTAGACTTAACATAGCTTTCCCAGGAGGCCTCCTGCTGGCCACGGAATGATTGCGCCTGGTCCCGGAGTACTGGTACATACATATTCCGTAGTAATCACGTGACAGAGGTATGCACCAAGCCTCCCACGGGTCTCAACATGATGAATACTACATACACATGTCACGGATATCACGTGATGTAGGTATGCAGGAGGCCTCCTGCTGGCCTTGAATACCCGGGGCTTTTGAGAAACCCGAGACCATGGGATGACTTACACATACACATGCTACGTAATCCTACATACACAGGTCACGGATATCACGTGATGAAGGTATGCAGGAGGCCTCCTGCTGGCCTCAAAATCACAATTCTTGGCCCCGGGGTTCTGTTACATACACATGTGTACACATGATGGAGGTATGCAGGAGGCCTCCTGCTGGCCTCGAAATCGCAATTCTTGGCCCTGGGGTCATCTTACATACACATGTGTAGCAGAACAGGTGATGAAGGTATGCAAGAGCCCTCCTGCTGGCCTCGAATTGGCAATTCATGGCCCCGGGCTCTTGTTACATACACATGTGTGTATGTGATGAAGGTATGCAGGAGGCCTCCTGCTGGCCTCGAATTCGTGATTCTTGGCCCCGGGGTCACGTTACACACACATACTACACAGGTGTACATAGGCACTTATACACATGTGTTACATATCACGTGATGGAGATTATGTATACAGCTGTAACCAATCACGTGTTGAAGCTATGCAGGAGGCCACCTGCTGGCCTCGAGTGCCCGGGGCCGCAAGAAACCCGAGGCCCCAAATCCATCCATATAAATTCATGACATGTGAAACAAGTTTCACTCCCACGCTACTGAACTCAACCACGTCGATCGTGTCGATCTCTTCGTCTCTCATCTCCTTCATTCCATTCTCACGCCTTTCAACTCAACTACGTCAATCGTGTCGATCTCTTCCTCTCTCACCTCGTTCATTCCATTCTCACGCCTTTTAACTCAACTACGTCGATCAGGATTCTTCGACATACCTTCCATTCATATCATTCAACTCAACTACGTCGATCACTTTTGTTCAAGATTCATTTCAGTCACATCCAACCCAATCACGTCGATCACATGGATCTCGATTAACTTACTCAATCCAATCACCATACCCTTCACGTTGATCACGATAAATCTCGATCAAATTGTGCACTACATACATAGCATCACACAGATTTCTTGTTGCATTTCACAACTGTAAGTATTTTCCCTTCGCCATGCTTTCGACCTCAGAATTGAATTACAACATTTGCTGATCATTCTTTACTTTCTGATATCTTGTCTAGATTCCTTGGTCATGTCCGAACCATCCCAGGCAGACTCAACCGAGGAAGAGTCCGAATCTGACGCCGCTCCCCAGGCTCCTTCACCCACGACCACTCCTCTCAATCGATCTAGTAAGTCTTACATTTCATTTCAATCTTTGATCCGGAGCACCGATCTCACGCTGACATACCTCTCACCGTAGATCAAACCTCTCGTCATCAAACCCCTGCGCTTCGGAATAGCCAAGCAGAGACTCGGAAAGGGGAGGTTGCGTGGGTCACGGTGGAGCAATATGAGGCTATACTAGAAGAGAAACTCGGGTGGCTCACTCAACAAATCAAACACAAGAACATTTCGTTATCGGTATACGATATATTCCAGGAGGCTGCCAACCGAGTACAGGAGGAGCTAGACCGTGAGTCATACCTAACATCGCTGCAACCAGTCTGCGTTGGCTTACCCTGGCTTCTTTTCTTTTTAGGGCTCAGGAATGGCACATTCGAAAACGATCCTGACTCTTTGGTGCAAGTGATCCTCCCGCCCAAGCGTTCGGCGAATTCCCTCGGCAAACAACGAGCTCCCCCTCAAGCTTCTCCTAAGCCTACCTCCGGCTCTTCGAAGGAGTTACGTCGTCCTCCTGAAATTGAGACATCGACTTCGGCGAATTCCCTCGGCAAAAGGCAAGGTTCTCCTGAGGCTACCTCCGGCTCGTCGAAGGAGTTACGTCGTCCCCCTGGAATCGAGACATCGACTTCGAAGTCTCGTAAAGTGTCTGGATCAAACACCCCTGAGCCCAGACCCAAGTTGCCGCGCGAGGCCAAGAAGAGGGGTGAACTCTCAAGGGTTGCTTCTGGATCCGCCGACTACCGACCCCCTTTGAGACGACGTTCCCCTCGTCGAGCTACGAAATCTCTTTCTCCTCCCCCAGTATACACTCCGAATCCAGCAACCTCGGCCGCCAACGTCAATGCCTTATTCGCGAAGGTATCTAACAACATCGTGGAATACAGCAGATCACCATCTTCTATACCTGTCATGGTAGAGGACGATTCCAATACCTTCTATAAATTCTTTCGCACTCCATTCGAGCATCCACCTCGAGACCAACCACTCGACTCCCCTCTAGTCAACTATGTCACTGAAGCTTGGGATACCGCGATGCCATCGGACAGATTCCGTCGAGAGTTCCTGCGTAGTGGATTCAACGCCTATCAACTCATATTTTCTTGGTTTGCTGGTGTCAGAAGAGATCCTCGCTGGACAGCTTCAGACACCATGGCGATGATGGATCGCTTTGAGGCGCTCCTGAAACTTTTGAAGTTGTCAGTGGTGCCCTTTGGAACGGTCCAACAAGAGCCTCAGCGTTCCCCATCCCCAACTCCCTCTGCCCAAGGACGTATGGAAGACCCACCGCCAGAATGTATGGAAGACCCACCGCCTATGCTCAACCCTATGCCCACCTATTTGGAAGAGGTACTCTCTGAAATCGAGACTATCGCTCTTGAACCCTCAAATATACCTGCCGGCCAACCTGACGGCGAGTTCCATGACTACTTCCGTGGACCCTTTTTTCCCACTGAGCCTTATGAAGACGACAAACTCTGGGATCAGGTTGACCCCTACTTGAACGCATGAATTGGCAGTGATGTTCTCCCCCGAACCCTTTGTCTAGGCCGCTATGGTATTGATGGATTGATTCGACATTGGCTAGTGCGAGCACGAGCTCTCCGTGGATGGGATGAGGCCTGTGATAAGCCGTTTGAAGCCAAGTTACGAGGTGCTCTCGTACTCCTCAAAAAGGCTGTTCTACCCAGTACCACTCACCCCGGCGATACGTCACGCAATAATTCCACTGCGAATGCCCATGCTCCGCATCCTGGTTTTAATGAAACCACCGTAAATCCAGGAACTCTACCCCAAACCACTCCTCAACAGCCTCCTGGTATGTCTGATTTCTCCTCATCTGTGATTGATCAATCTACTGATCAACATACCATCTTTTTATTTAATTCAAGACCCACCCAATACTTCCACTTCAAATGCCGGTGCTCCTCATCCTGGTTCTAATGAAGATACGGTTGTTGATCCTGATGAGGATCCACTCGAAGGAAATGCGGGAACTCTACCCCAAACCTCTCCTCCAGAGCCTCCTGGTATGTCTTTCATATCTCCTCGTCGGTGATTGATCAATCTACTGATCAACATGCGATTTTTCTATTCAATTCATGAATTCCGTAACACCTGCGGCATATATAGAGGAACAAGGTACTGACAAGGATCAAGCCGAAGACCAACGCAATACTTCCACTTCAAATGCCGGTGCTCCTCATCCTGGTTCTAATGAAGATACGGTTGTTGATCCTGATGAGGATCCACTCGAAGGCAATTTGGGAACTCTACCCCAAACCACTCCCCAACAGCCACCTGGTATGTCTTTGATTTCTTTTGATCCTCATATGTGGTTGATCAATATACTTATCAACGTACAATTTTTCCATTTGATTCGTGAAACTCTTCAACACCTGCTGCACATATAGAGGAACAAGGTACTGACAAGGAACAAGCCGAAGACCATCCACCTCAAACTACTTCTCAAAATACTCCCGGTATGTTTTCTCAATCCTGATGTGTGATTGATCAATCTACTGACCAACATACAATTTCTTTCTTTATTTGCTGTAATTATAGAGAAAAAAGCCCCTGACAAGGATCAGGACAAAGAAAATTTACCTCCAACCCCTTCTCGAAAGACTCCTGGTACGTTCAAATCTCAAATCTCTCGATCCTTTGATTGATTAATAGCTGAATATAGAGCGTGCAGGTAACCCTCCCGCCTCCAACCTACCTCTACCAGCACAGATCCTTTCTGTTGCTCCGGGACCTTCCAATTCTCCTGCTCGCTCAAGCCCAACTCGTGTGCCTCTATTCAATCCAGCCTCTACCAATTCTCAGCCCAGTCCTACTCTTCGGCAACCTAGTCCTTCAACAACGTATCCCAAACCGATTCCTGACTCTTTGGAAGCGGTACTCTCTGATATCGAGACATTAGCCGAGAAGACCACGCTCCCTGTTGCCGAACGGGACAGCGAATTCCACGAGCTATTCAGGCATTCTTTCAGGCCGAAGGAGCCCTACGAGGACCACGAACTCTGGGATCAAGTTGATGTCATCTTGAATGCACGAATTGGTCCTGATGTCCTCCCTCGAACCCTTCACCGAGGACAATACGGTATCGACGGCCTGTTTCGACATTGGCTTGCACCTATTCGAGCTTTACGGGGGTGGGATGCTCACTGTGATCAGTCTGTCGAAGCAAAGTTAAGAGGTGTTGTTGCCCTCCTAAAACGGAAAGTCAAGCCTCCTCAAGTTGCTCCTCCAGGTGTCGACCCTCGGCTCCTCGAACCATCAACATCATCCCAACAGTCCAGTTCTCAGTCTACCTCCACTCTGATGCCTCTTAAAAGGCCTATTGAAGCCAACTCGCAAGTCACTCCTGATCCGAAGAAAACTAAACTCGACTCTTCAACCGGTCATTCTCAAGATGAGCAGGTTCCTCAATCAGTCCAGGAACCTGCCCCTACCGGCCTATGGATGATGGCTCAGTCTCCTCTTTTTGGTCTCACTTCGGCTTCGATTGAGGCAAACAAACTTGTGACACAAGATGTACCCCAAGTTTACCGGGCTGCGATCAACTTGCTCTTTTGGCGCAAACAAGGCATCAATTTGCCGGCCAAGCCCCCTGTCCAGGAAGCAGAGGCTTTTGGGGTGAAAAACAAGTTGTCAGTTACCAAGTGGCTTGCCAAAAACCCCAGTGAGTAATTTTTTCATTTGTTACCATTGACAACTGATGCTGATTTCATTTATTTATTCCAGACTCACTCCTTGTGCGTAGTGCTGGCGAAGCGCCGTGGCATCGCCCCGACATTTTCAACTTCACCTTACCCGACTACGAGCTGGCAACTACCATGGATGCCACAGCTCAAACCTCCTACGTGCACGAGATTCTGGGTTTGTTCTACAGTCCAGGTGCAAAGCGGATAAACCAGGCGGTGCGGATGATAGTTGCAGCTGTTACATTTGCCCGAATGGACACCAACGAGCTTCCGGTGGACTACACTCTTCCTGAAGTTCAATTTCCAAACCAAAACATCGGGCAGTGTCTTCAAGCTGCTCATCACTTCAAAAGCCTTCACGAGACTAAGCAGCAAACTCAAACTGTTGCAGAGTGTATGGAAGTGATGTCTGGGATGGTCAATCGTCTTTACACAGTCTTTGAGGCCGTTGCCAGTCTACAAGCAAAATTTCACCATGCTTTGCATCTCAGTCAAACACCAGCTGATAGACACGACCAGCTCCTCTCAGAATACGAGGCAATGACCGAAACACTGGGTACAGGCTCCATCCCGTCTCATGTTCTTGGACCTCTGGTTGCTTTTCTAGTGTCTGGTGTAAAAGGTCTCATGATTTTCCCGCACGATAAAGGGCGATATGGTCCTGTGAAACTCTCTCATTTCCTGGTCCTAGTTAACGAGATGCATGGGCAAGCACCGATTGAGGAACCCATCTGGAAATACACCCAAAAGTACATCCTGGAAACAATGGAAAAAATCTTTTTCCCCACAGGTTTTGACCCCTCCAACCTCAATGATGTTGAATGGGATGAGCATGAATTGTCCAAGTTCCAGCTCGCCAAAGCGCTGGAAGTAGACCTTTATAACTTTTGTGTGAATAGGCAAAAATTCTCTGGCGGTGAGATTTATAAAGACGGTCTGTTTGACCTACCGGACATTGAAGTTGGCAAAGATCTTAATAAAAAGAAAAAATAACCTTGTCATGTATTTGTTTCTCTTGAATTGAAATTTTGTTGTGCTGGATTTATTTAACTCTTGGTAATGTTTCTTCCTATTAACTCAAAATGTACCTTCCATCAATCAAAAAAAAGTTTTCTTGTTTTCCAAACCCAAGTGTAAGGGTAGGGATTTGAATAATTATTGTTCTGCTTGTATCTTGTTTTACCAAAAGGTTCTCTTGTTTTCAAATCTCAAGTGTAAGGTTAGGGATTTGAATGAATTCTATTGTTCTATTTGTCTCTTGTTGTTCTACCTCATGTTTCCCTGCCTGCCTGTGAATTTTAATGCCATCATATTTTTTTTATGATATCATTGGCATTCTTTCCTAGTACTGTGAACCAGCTCAAGCCTTCAGGTGAGGCTTGAACTGAGTTCACAGTACTAGAAAAGAATGTTGATGGTATCATAAAGAACAACTTATGACAGAGTGAATTTCACATTTAAATCTCACACTGGGGTGCAGCCTTTTTTAGAAGGCATGCCTATACACCTTTTGAATTCTTGGTTCACAAGTGAGGCTTGAACTGAGTTTGCGGTACTATAAAAGAATTTTGATGGCATCATGACAAATCACTCATGACAGAGTGATTTTAACCCCCATATCTCACACTGGGGGTGCAGCCTTCTTTAAGAAGCTTCTGAAAAATTCAGGTGGTGAAATACTTTCATACACAAACAAGTGAGATGACAGAAGAAAGAGATACAACCAGCCAAACTTGACATATTTGGTCTTCTGAACTTGTGGCATATTGTTGACCCAATAAAAAGATGAACCGGCTGTTGAATATGGATCTGTATATAATCAACCCTAACAGCATGTTTTTAGGTTTGGATACCCATACCCAATTTGGGTTTCAAGTTTTTTATAAATCATGCAATTACCCCGATTGCAAAGCATGAACCAAACAGATATAAACTAAAACAAACACTGTTGGTTCTAGTATTGTGAACCATTTAACCTCACTTGATCACTCTCACCAGTTTAAGTCCAGGTGAGACTTAACCTGGTTCACTTTTATCCCTCAAAATCCCAGTTGCTTTGCTAGCTACTTTCAAGGTACAAGGTTTCCTGCCACTTCTAGGCTTCTGAAAATATAACATGTAAGATCAATTCAAGGTACAAGGTTTCTTGCCCCTTCTAGGCTTCCAAAAATATAACATGTAAGATCAATGAACCCTAACCTAGCCCACCTACTAGTGTCTCACACATACCACCACATGTCACCTACATGGCACTGTGGTTGTGAGGACTTAGTCTTGTGATATCCCATTTCCCAGTCTGAATCTGGACACTCAGCATTTATCCAACAATCAGATATTTCTCACATCCAGACCATCATCAATGCCCATCACTTTAGGACATCATGCTGTTGCTTTGGACCGCAACCAGTTCCTCTGCAGTTGCCCAGAATTGGGATGCAATCAAAAGACTATTCAATACAGAGGAAAGGTCTATCAAGGCAAAATATTCAGCCGCCAATCATATCCTGGACACCTCCAACGTAACCCTTCAGCGCAACCTGAAGCGGTTGGTGCAGCCACCAACGTAGCTAGTGCGGTTGTTCAACTGACGCCCAGCACTTCCGCACCTCCTGTAATAGGTCAACCCACACCCAGTGATTCTTCAGCCCCTGCAGGTGTTCAACCCATGGCCAGTACCTCATCAGGGATTTATGCACCTCAGTTGTCCTATGTGAGTGCAATTCACCCCCTATGTGTTTTCAAGTTGTCTGACTTGCGACTTGATATCAGCTTCCAAACTTAGCATCAGCTCAAGCGTCTACAAGTACAGCAATACTACCCCCCATTGGTGGGGCGGTTGCCGCCACCCGCCCCAACAAAAGAGCTAGAGAAGAATTGGACAAGGATAGAGATAGTGACGACTCAGATTTGGGCAACACAGTTCCTCCGGCACCCAAGGCCTCAAGAACACAGCTCACATATACAAGTAACACACCTTCACTCCCAAAAATCTTTTTACAGCACCCCATGTGTTTAAGAGAAATGTTCAAGGTCACCAAGAACCACCTTTTCAACAATCTTGGTGTAGATGCCTGCCGGCAAAGCCTTCAAACCGCGCGAGATAGTGTAGAAGAGCACCTCAAACAGTTGGATCCCAACATCAAGACAACACCTTGGACCCAAATCCCTCGCACGATCCCAACACTTTTAAAGACATTCGACCTCAATACCACCATACAGAGCAAAATCTGTTGTCCATTCTGCTGTGCTCTGCATCCTGTACTACCAATAGACCAAATCAACATGAATCAACTGTGCAATCATCCTTGATTCACCTCAAAGACATCTAAAGAAAAACGAAAATCTTGTGATCAACCACTTTATGAAACACCCTCTGGTAAACAAATTCAAAAACCATCTAGACTATTTTTTTATCAGTCTGTCCAGTCATGGCTTGGCAAGATGCTCAAGTTTTCCGCTTTCGAAACGGCCTTGGATGCCTCTCTCAACCGCACCCCACCATCCAATCACCAAATGGATGATATATGGGATGGCAGCCTATGGAAAACCTTCCGAAAGTCAGGCTCAGTCTTCACTGCAAAATCGGGGAACCTTGTTTTTGGACTGTGGTGTGACTGGTTCAATCCAAACGGCAAAGAAGCTAGAGTCAAGACCTCTGTTGGTGTCATGCTTCTCACTTGTTTCAACTTGCCTCCTTCCTTACGTTACAAAAGAGAGAATATCTGCCTTTACGCGATCATGCCAGGTCCCTCAGAACCCTCCACAACAGAAATGAATCACTTCCTCAAGCCTCTGGTTGAAGAGATGAAAGAGTTTTGGCAAGGCATCAGCTTTAGTTCCACCTCAAAACATCCTGTAGTCGGCCGAACCATTCATGCAGCCATCTGGCCCATCCATGGGGACGTCCCAGCCATGAAAAAGGTCACCGCCTTCACCGCACACTCTTCCAGACACTTTTGTTCACTCTGTCAAATTACAGACAGAATATATCACTCCCAATTTCCAGCACCTAAATGTCCTCACCGAACCTCAACAGAGGTAAAACTTCAAGCACAAGCATGGGAACAGGCCACCACTGCCTATGATCAAAATGAACTTACCGGCAGCAATGGAGTAAGATATACTGTCCTTCACGAGCTGCCTTATTGGAAGTCTGTTGAATTCTACACTGTCGATATTATGCACAACATCTTCCTTGGCCTCTTCAAAGACTTTTCCACAAATTATTTAAAAGTGCCAGTGGCAGGCAAGGCTCTGGAAGCTGAAAAGGACAAAATGGAATTCAGTAAAAGAATGTACAATGTTCAGCTACCTAAGCCACCAACAGCCAGTACTGCAACTCCTGATCGACCAGGCCCGTCAGCTTCAGCTCCTCCGCTCAAACCAGCATCACAACATTCCTACGGAACACGATCAGCAGCATCCAATCTCCACGACCAAGGGTCTTCTTCTGCTGGATCAGATGGTACAATCAAGGGTAAAAAGAAAGCAAGCCGGACCCCATCACCATCACCACCTCCACCCCTACCAATACCTGTGATTGTTCCAGAAATCACATCTTATGAGCTCGATCTGCTCCAGCGATGCATCAAAAACGCCCAAGCCCCCTCTTGGCTTACCAAACCCCAGGGTACCTTTGGTATGGCAAGTGCTGGGACTCCCAAAGCAGCAGAGTGGCATTCTTTATACAAAGTCTACATTGTACTTGCTTGGGTCCCTCACTTTCTTAATGGCGAAGCTGGCACCACTTCAGCCAAGATCCTTGCCAGCCTGCTGCAACTCATTCAAATTGGCAACATATGTACTTTGCGCAGTTTTCACCAAGGCGATGGTGAAAAGATTGGTAATTTGGTTCATGGCTATCAAACCGCCCTTGGCGATGGCTGGCCACATATCAAGAAAAAACCTAACTTGCATTTTGCAGAACATATTGGCGAAATCTCAGCAAGGCTTGGGCCACCAGCTTATACTGCTAGCTGGTCTGGTGAGAGGATAATTGGAAGCCTGGTTCAGACAGCAAAGAACGGAAATATCCGTCAGTCTTTTTTGTCCCTCTGTTGATCACTTAAAATCAGCTGATTCCGGTCTTTGACACTTCAGAAGGACAGGGTGAGACATTACTTCACCAACACGCCAGACGGGCATTCTTCAGAGCAACAATTAACAATAGTCATTCTGCCATGGAGGCGGATCCAATCCTCCGAGATTACCTCCAAAGGAACCGCCAGTCAAGGTGGACTGTCAAGAAGCTCAGTCCTGCAGGCTTTCAAGCACTCCAGCGTTTCAATCATCTTGAGGCAGGTCACACCTTCAATTCAAAATTTGATGTTACCTCATCCATCAAGATCTTTAACAAGGCGCACAGCACTCACAAGACAACACCTGGGAATAGCTACATTACATATGCCCTGAACTCTCAAAGATGGACTGGATGTATCACTGAAATAGTCCGGCTCAACAACCTCCCCACACCACTGCTTGTTGTACATTCACTCAAGTCCCTGAGTCATCAAGACCAGCACAAGAATCCGTACTCTTCCTTGCCCGACTTACTGAACGCTACTGTTGTTTATGATTCACATGAGGAATATCATGTAATTCAAGTCAAGGACATAATTGGACAGCTAGTTGTCATGAAGAACCCCACTGGTACATTTGATATCCATAACGCAACACTTTCAATTGTTGGCTTAGCAAATATTGTGAGTGGTTGAAGAGACTCAGTGCGTTTCTGTATACTAATTTTTTTCATATCCACTGGTAGGGATTTGTGCAAGATAGCCATGTCAAAGATGCAATGGATATGGAGTGAGATAAATGTGTATGTTGAAGTTGTAATATATTCTAGACATGACACCTTTTATGTGGTTATTTTAATTTGAGATAAGCTTTTGTATAAGAAAAAAACATAACCTGAGCCCATGATTGATTTCTTGATATGAGATGAATCCATGTCACTTGTGCTGGATCGTATATCCAGCTGAAGTTACATTGAAGCTTTATTGAATACATAGTGAAGCTTTGTTGCACCCTTTCTGAATCTTTCATGAATCTTTTATGAATCTTTCATGAATCTTTCATGGAGTAAGTGGTAGGCTCTGGCCTGCCAGAGCCCAGTAGATGGGGGCTGTGATGGCTGTTACTCGGGCTGAGATATATGTGGACAGCTCAATACAGATCGTGGATTCTGCCAAGTACAATCCATTTGGCGCCCTGAGAACCTGTCTGACAAGAAGGCTCAAATTGTGGTGAATATGTGTGTGAAAGGGCGACTGGTACCATTTTATGCAATGCGCGAAATGGTGTTGACTAACAATATGAAGTCAGTGAATGTCATGGTAAGCCACTCACCACATCACTTACACCTATTTTCAATGGCTCCTAATGTTGATGCGCGACAGGAACTTGACCGAGTGTTGAATGTGCAGCACAATTGCCATGAGGCACATTGCGCAGTGGCCTCCACACAAGCTATCATGATTGAGCGGAAAGCTTTGTCCAAGAAGCATTACACGATAAAGCACAAGGAGTTTAATTCCTATGTTATGAACTCTGCCGCGCACTACTCCGGCGAAATCCATCGTGAAGTTTCGGACTATAATTTCAATCAAGTCACTCTGGCTGATTGGAAGGATGCTATCGCACGCGGGGTTGAGGCTTGGAAAGCCGAGGGGGCTCGTCTTGCGCAAAGGGGCAAAAGGACGCGAGGTGAGGAGGCATAACGTGGTGAAATATGGATGGTGAAGAACATTTCATATGTACTTGGTACATATTGACGTATATATGTGATATGCATGCCTTCACTTTTTAAAAGTTCATGCAATGAAAACTATTAAAAACTGAAAAGATATTGTGGACTGCACGAAAGCGGTCAAAAAGAGATTCACAATGTCTCACTTTGTGAAATTTTTTCAAATATGAGAGGTGGCTAAGTGGGACTAATGGAAGGGGCACGGGCAGTTTGATGATGTGACCGATAGCTGTTGAAGCTATCCGTTATCATTACCAGCCACAAAGATACACGAATAACCAAATACAATTGAATCATATGCTTTGACACCACAGGAGATTAGGCTTAGCATCTTTAGAAATTGCATGCCACATGATATTGTGTGATTGAGAAACCCTTAATCCTTGATGATCTGTAAAATAGCATCACCGTGGCGTTAGAACCGTTATCGCAAGGCCTGCGCGAGATGTGGCCGAAAGGTCCAATCAGAGGAGGCCTTGAAATCAAGTGGATGCAATCAAAATAATCAATATCTACGTATTGAAATCCGGTAAGTAAAACAAAACGCACCTTTAGGATAACCTAATAAGGCTTGATGGTTGCATGGATCCAAGCCATCCGCGCACGAGTTTTCAACACATCGCGATGACCAGGCTGTTTTCGGAAAGGTTGCAAACCAAGTCAGCATGCATTCTTTGGGGACATATGGAACCCGATAATCACCAACCTCTTGCTCAATGTACAAAGTGAGCTGCTCAAGCGCATCATGGGCATGTAAGGCCAGGTTGATCACCCCGAAGTAATGAACGCCTACAGAGCCTTTCATTATCGCGAGGGCCACCTGATCCGTCATGATTTGAACTACGTCGTTTTTGGCCGGTTTTGGCTTCATTAAATAAAGCTCAGCGTGGGTGAGGTCTTCGATAAGTTGATTGACATTAACGATCCACGCATCGACGTCACGATTGTGCTCGTCCAACCTGGCAAAGGTGGATCGTACTGGGGTGATTCCCATGGTTTGATCGAGCATTTGTCGGACCCGTCGAATTTGGTATTCGTTGGCCTCTTGAATGCCTTTGTCGACGGCACGGCGGATGGCGTCTCAGTAAAATGAATTGTTCCTAGTCGCAAGCCAGGCTTCATACTGTTCGTCTCGATGCTGGTCTGCTTGAGCACGCCTCTCTTGGTACGAAGTGAGACTGACATTGTCGCCATCGGAGTGGTTATGATCCATCTCATTGGTGGAGGGAGACTGGTTGCCCTCCGTGAAATTGCTGAGAGGGGCTTCTACTACTTCAGAGGCTTCTTGTTCTGATTGTACGACATGATGACTAGTAACAGCTTGTGGTTCAATGGATTCCATTATGAGCCGTGAGGTGACAGATCCTAATGAGGCCGGAAAGGAGATGAGGAAGAGATGATATGGAAAGGTCTGATATGATGGATGGAGCAGACGTTGGCAAATGGTTCAATGGGACTTGGAACAGTGCAGGTTAAATATGAGAAAAAAGATCTTTTGGGTTACACGGCATTAATTGGCGGAGCCCACTGAGATTTACAAGATATCAGTGCATAAGGTTCGGTGGGTCATTCATATTGTTGCATTCACATCACATGACAAATTCGATTTCCTTGATATCCATCACGGTCATATGCGTGATGGAAAGCAACAAATGAATGAAATACATTGATGTGGACTTACCACCCAAACTACATATCATATCTAATAAAAAGGGAACCATAGTATGCTTCAGCATTGATAAGGAGGGTCATGCTGTCGCCATACGGTATACCCCAAGAACAAAGTTTTTCGGCATGGATATGCTCAACAAACAAGAAAAAATGAAAGTTATTGATTCCATGAGCCATCAGAATGGGATGAATACGTGCGATTTTGGCCACCGTAAATTTTGCGTAGCGGAGGTATTCACCCAAGGTTGATTTCTGGATGAAGTGCTGAAGGGCAGTGTAATTGAGAACCCCCCCTATAACACCGACCGCCTTGATTTTGATATCTAAAAGGCAAGGCACTCAAATCAATGACTTGCTCGCTCAAACAAAGGATGGACCATACCAACCTGGCCTATACACTGATTCCATGTCGCTGTTGCTCCCATCCGTTGGCGGCGGAACTGGCCAGAATTCTGACCCAACCCAACCATGAGTACCACATCACATTGATAGCGTGCCAACAGTACAAACCAGGTGAAAGTGATCGATCCTCTTGATAATCTCCGCTCGGGGTTGAGGAGGTAAGGTTTGGAGAAGAACCGGCGGTGACATGTGATGGCGATGGCGGTTGGGAATCCGGCACTATGAAAGTATTTGGATCCTCCTCCTCGCTTGGTGAAATCAAGCAAGGTTGGCCACGTAATACCTCAATGCAGAGAAGCTGAGCCAATCCTACTTACTAGATCATACGGCGTCGGCTGTCAGAGGCCAAAGTGCGTCCTTGTAAGGTGTCCATTTTGGGAGCGGATGTCGAAGTTGTCCCAAGTTCAGAGATGCTCAATGCAGTGTAAGCACGATCGCAAGACCACAAGTAGCTCAGAACCACGGTCATTCCAACCATGCCGTGGGGCCTGTCAAGATGCGCAGCTCTCTTGCGTTGATTAGGTCTTGTCCACCGAACAAGACCCCCAGTGCTTCTTGCAAACCCACTCCGAATACCCCCCAACTGCAGCACCCAACCTCAACTTCTTGTTTTCTGATTATCATCACATCTTACTTCCTTGATTTCAACACCACCGTTAACAAATCTTCAACTTGCAGAACCGTGACTTATCTCTTAGTATGAGTAAGTACTGGCTTATTTTCATCATTCCACGCTTCCTATCATTTCTTCTCATTATCCATAGCGTGTCATTCAGGCAATAATCAAGTCCAACCAGGTGGCTCACCGAGCCTTGGCCGAAGTCAATCCTCAAACTCATTGTCAGGATCATTGAGCAGCCTGAACAACCACGATGGGCTTCGTAATAATGCTGGTGCGAATAGCGCTGCTCTTTTGCAAATCCACGTTCCCCGACGTCTCAACCTGGGTTTTTTGACTTCAATGTCTTTTTTTTCCTTCTTCTTGCTTTAAGGGCTTAACCGCGCCACCACTGAACGTGGTGGCCTGGCTCCAAGAACTGCCAGTCACACCCTTACGGGCTTGCGGGCTCCCTTGAGAGGCACGATGTCGCCTGGATTGCGTTCAGCGTCACGCACTCTCCGGGATCGATCTCGATCACCAGTGAGCCGGGGTAACACACCTCAACGAGGTGGGGCTATGTCTGCTGGCATTGGCCTCCTCAACCGAGGTGCAGGAGAAGTTGGAGATGGACTCCAATCTCGCATACTTGGACCTTCAGCTTTGGAATTTTTTGAAGGTATAGCGGAATCCGCTGGATTGGATGCCGAACATGCCACAATGGCTCGCGCCCAATGCGAGGTGAGTTCTCTCTCCGTATTACACCTAATGAGTTACACGGCTGATGTTATGAGTTATCACTAGATGGTGGGAGATAATCGTATGATAGCTGAAACCGTCATTAACGCGCGTATCTTGATGGAGATTACCAAGCTTTCGAATCAGGTTGAGGCAGTGTCCAACCTTGCCAATCAGGTGGAAGAATTGTCCAATTTGGCCAAGAAGGTCGATGATGCAAACACCCACCTCCTCGATCTCACGGAGAGTGTTCAGCACTTGGGTACCTTGGTCACCCCTGGGGCCGCGGCTCAGCCAGTTGTGCCAGTGGTTCCGGTTGTGCCAGGACGTCCGATCATGCGCGAACGCTGGACCGCGTCATCTGAACTCTTGGTGAGTTTTCTAACATCAGTAACTTTCTTATTAAACCATGGCCATAGGCTGAAAGATCAACTTGGCAGAACTTAATCAACCCGATGGCGTTGAAGTTCCTAGGCAACCACGATTTGGAGAGCTACACGGCCCTCAAGTCGCCCAAGGGCGACTTGTTGGCTAACTCCCTCTTCAACAAGATCAAAGTGAGTCAAATTTCATGTATATATTCATCATCAGGACTGACACACTGAATGCCATTACCGCTTTAGGTCGCCGTCCTTGATCAAGGAGTTCAGTGGACCACTCAACATCTTCCAGTTCAATTTCAAGGTGTCGAGGATGTTGAAGGCACTAGACATTACAATTCAGCCATTAAAAACGTTTGCAAACATGCCAGGGAAAAGTTACATCACACGGTGAGTATCCGTTGTCACCGTTCCAGCTCACTCACTTAATGTTTCTATGATATGTTCCAGCTCTTGTCAGGAATTCACGATCCCAAGACTGGAGAAGTTTTTGACCAAGCCGTGCCCAATATCAAGACTTTGATGTTTCGAGTGAGTGGCATGCGCTCGGACAGAGACACATGAAGGATGTCTGACTACCTTTTCTATCTCAGATTGCACAGACCTGTGATACCCTTGCAGGTTGTAACAAGGAAGCACTTTGGGTGGCGAGCACTTCTCACATGCGAGCCCGGGCGGCATATCTGGTACGACTCATTTTACTATCTGAATTATGAGTGGCACCTGAAAAGCGCTGTCTTTGTAGCGTCGCGAAGCAGCTCGCATCTATCAAAGAGGACGAGGTTCCAGCTCCATCTGGTCCAACGTCGATCAGCAGCTTGCGAGGCTCCGAGCTGGAGGCGCGGATTATACCCTGGCGTAAGTTCCTTCGACACCATCTTGGGCACGGCCTGTGTGGTTAAAAACTCTCGCCGTTTGTTAGGTTCTATGACCTTATCTATAATCAAGACAGCACGGCTTTCACTGGCGATACATTCTTTCACGAGTTGAGAGACGAGGTCGAGTTGCGATTGCCAGCTGAAGCCGACGTCATTGCCGCCACTGAACAAGGTCCCGTTGCGCTCTTGGCAGCAGCAAATCCGGCAGTATGAGGATGGTGTGATAATGTATCACAACATTGATTGATTAAAATTAACTGCAGATGTTATGTATTTGGGTTTCCGTCTATATGATACTTCCTGAATACCATCAATCTTGTACCGTCAAAGAAAGTTGCAATGCGTGTGTGTCACCTTTTTAGGAGGTTCACGTCTCTGATATGTGAACCGCGAGAGCTCTTAGACAGGGTCGGGTCTTTGCATGCAAAGACCGAGGGCCCTCGGTCTTTTTTTTGTTTCAAAAAAACCCCATGGGCGGTCCACGGGCAGCATCCAGTCCGCATTTCGCTTGCCCATGGGCCGTTTTGGGTGACGGCCCTGTGGACGCCTACCAGGCCGCGGACGTGTGGACCATCTGTGGATGGCCCAACCTGTCGCAGCCATCGGCCGCCTGTGGGCGGTCCACCACGGCCGCCTGTGGGCGGTCCACCACGGCCGCCTGTGGGCGGTCCACCACAGCCGCCATTGGACGGTCCAGACCCCTCCGTGGTGTACATATATTTCACAGATGTAACATGTATGTAACAAGTGAAATATACTTATAACCCAATAGTAACTGTGTTACTGTAATTAACCTAACCTTAGAACCACAATTTGTGCACACTTGTAGTCCAAAGATTCCCAGGTTTCAGACTATATAAACCCTGAAGATCCCACCAGTTTTGAATCATCATATCAATATTCAACAACTTTACAAATTGCTAATTCATCTTCCTAGAACTTTTAAACTTTGTCTAACATCTACAAACTTTAAAAGCTTGATTCTACAACCTTGAATCTTCAACTTTGTGTCTTGATGACCTATTTGTGTGCACATCCAAACCTTGTTTCTATATGATTAGACTCTATAATCAGCTAGTTTTGTAATATCCATTTTGTGGAATTATGTGTAAGGAAGTAGTCCTTGAGTAAGGCTTATATCAGATCAGGGATTCATCTAATATAAGAAACTCTAAATCTACAGGGAGCCTCTATTAGTCAGAGTTTAAAGTTCCTGGTGTTATGACAGACTTTAACACCCCCTTTATTGATCATTCTTTGTACAAGAAGTGACTCAATTCAGGCTTGAGAACTGCGCGTCAGTTGCTCTATTTTAATTGTTGCAAATAAGAACAATTACCCAAAATCCCTAGGCGTAAATCTTTTGTTGAAAGGTCATCTAACTGGAGTCTTTACTTGTTTATTGCAAGTAAACTCCTACGCCCATGTCTTTACCCACTCAAACTCGTGGATAGTAATCCCCACAAGTCTAGTAGAAGTTTGTTTAACCTTCTGTTCTTCCTTTTTATTGATTCTACTAGCCAGACAGACACTAGTAGGCTCACAATTCCAGCGTTGCAAGATTGGATGTGTGAGACCAGATTAAGTTTGAATTTTGCAACTCTAATATTAACCAGAGATCCTTCTTGTACAGTCCCCTCCAAGTGGTTTACGTAACCATTCAAGTTCTGCAGTGGCGGGGCCGGGGCCTGTCGCAAACCCAATGATTACAAATCCTAGGTGTGGGGACGTGTACAACATGACCAGAGAAATCATCAACCCAAAGGACTCTGAGGATGTTACAGTCATTCTTTTGTAATTCTGAAGTTATCATTAGTCTTATATCTATAAGACTCTTGATGTTGCTTCAATAGAGCTTTAATTTTGTTCTGTAGAATTATGGTGTGATGATTGCTTGGGGAATCTGCTTGAAGGCTAAGAGAGGGGGGGTTTATATACTCTCCTCTCTAAACCTAACTGTACTAGTAGTGATATTTGGTCATATCATTATAATGGTTCAAGGTTCGATTATTAATCATTATTAGCATTATTAGCATTATTAATTATACATAATGAAATATATGGGTTAAGTATATCATTTAGTATAAGCATTTCAACTCTTGACACTGAGTTGAGAGGTGAAATTGGTGTTTTATTACATATTACATGTAATTTTAGGGCTATGACCCAGCCTAGCGCAAAGTGGCCGGACCCAGGGCACTGCCTGGCCCTGGAAAGGCCCGGTTGCATCTTCAGTCAGACCAGGGCCTGTATTGAAGGGATAGGACCAAAAAATTCAGGGCCAGCCCTGGGCCCATGGCGTCAGGATGGGGGTGCAGCTTAGAAAAACAAGGTGTGCCCTGGCGTGTTTTTGTGAAAAATGGGTGCGTTAGGTGCGGCCTTCAACCATGCAAAAGTGAAAAAACACAAAAAAATGCAAACAAAATTCAGGGGATGCATTTTAACCAACCTTAACTACCTATTTGTTGCTGATAAGGTACAAGATGGATTGTTTGAAGGTCAATTCTTAATTGAAGTTGATTCATAAATGGATTTTATAAGAAAATGAACACGAGGAAACCCCCACTTTCTCACTATGAGGCATGCAGGCTTTTGGGCGCGCCCACCTTGTTTTCAAGATTTTTAGGTGCGCCTTGGCGCATTATTTTTTTTGAGCCCCCATCCTGACCATGGCAGTGCTCCTGGGGCTCCGCAAGCCAAACTCAGCTGACCTGGGGTGTGTACCACTTGCTTCCAAGCAATCATTGGACAGGCTTGGGTGGTCAGGGCCTGGGCCGGGTCATACCCCTATGTGGTTTTGAGTGTACATGTATATGCACTGAGTGTTTTTAGATATGATATTACATGTTGCACACGTTTTCTAAGCCTTGGTACATGTAATTAGGTTTCTTAAGGGTTGTCAATATCACTGCAGGGATCATTAAGTGTGAACCACACTTGAGCAAAGTTGTGGTGACTAGGTCTATGACTTTCTTCAATCACAAATATTGTTTGCCCCAGGTTTGCCATAGGTTTGCTAGCTCACCCCAAGTTGCCCTTGAGTTGTCCACTTCTATATGCAGTGAAGCTCATGGTGAAAGAAAACCCACAATAAGTTGTAAGAGACATCCTTTTCAGTGGACCTACTTGGTTGGTAGTGTGATACATGAAAGCAAAAGCACTTTTAAGTGAAAAATGAATAATCAAAACAAAAGGGCAGCTTGAGGGAAGCTAGCAAACCCCTACACTGTGAACATCATTCAACTTCCCCAAGTGGGAAGGGCAAAATGATTAGGAGTACAATTTGTCATAAAAGGATCTATCACTGCACACCGGAGCCATGACACCCACACTACATATGTGCAGCAGGCTGAGTGAATAGGTGGCTACCATGTACATACAGGCTTGCCCAGTCATGTGCTCATATGGATGTGTGAATCATATGTAATACATGCTGTAATTATTTTTTGGCTTGACAAAATCATTCCAAAAATTGACTACATACACTGACTCAAAGACTTGGTGTGAGTTTGTCAACTAAACTTCATGTAACATCCTTTCTGTTACTGACAAGTGTCAGGTTGTGGGTGCACTCATATTTTTGTGGGCCCACCAGGGCACATTTTTTTGGTTCTTTCACACCTAGGCGCCACTTGGGGCGCCGGGTGTGTTTTCTTATGAAAAAAATTGACAAAAGCCAAAATGGTGTGTTTGTATGTTATTTATTCTATGTTTGTATTGATAGAGCTATCTACCATGAAAGAATTGCCTTTTAAAGGTGAGAAAAGCTAAAAGGAGCTGTCATCAAAGCTCACAGCAACAAGCTCTCTGTACAACTTCCTCAGGCACATGAAGCTGATTGACAAGAAGTCTCAAAAAATCATTGAATCACAAGGATTCCTCAAGTAGATGAATGGTCTTTTGGAGTTGTTTTTCCGGCTTTGGGTTCCAATCAGCTATCATGAAGGTGAAGAAGCATAACATCAAAACCCAATATTGTGTTTCAATATGTAATGTGAAATTATCAAATGTTTCTAATCAAACAATTTGGATCAAACTCGATTGTATGTGGTGTCTGATGTCAGGACTCAATTTTGCTTGCTATGTTAAGCCTCTGCATAAAGGACTCAAGTTGGGACTTGATTAGTTATGGGCTGTATCAAATGGAACATGCATTGTGAAGTTCTTAATGAGTCAGTAATTGGTAGTCTACAGTTGAGTAACCTGTTACCACTACCTTCACTCATTGCAAGCATCAAAAAGCATTACAGTGCCCGCGAAGAGGGTGTAAGAAAATGAGTTTGAAAGAGATACCAAGATCTGTAACAAACACTTGATATGACCTTTATATAATTTAATTAGGTTTGACACAAAAATGTATAAAAGATCTGAAATCAAATCTTGTCTTAACATCATAAGAAATCTTTTTTTCCACAACTTTGAGGTAATAAAAAAGATTTTGATGGAAAAGAAGATAGAGAGAGAGGTAAAAAGTTTTCAAGAGATGAGAATCAAAAAAACATTATGTTTAACTATGTAAAAACATCTCAACAAACAAAACCATACAATTTAAACAAATTACTTTGATTCTGTTGATGTGATAATTCAGAACACAACTTTTATTACTAGATATATCTTAAGACTCATCATGATGATCAAACTCAGTTAATTTAATCCATACTATATACTTCCAAATCTGTCCAAAACAAAACCGCACAAAGGTTTGATAGTTTTTGAAAAAAATACTTTGCTCAAGAATCCATCATTGACACTTATCCTGGATCTGACACTTAATTCTCCAATAAGCGGTGGTGGTGGTGGTGGTGATACCAGCAGTTTATAAAAACCTAAGCTTAGCTAAGCCCCTCTTCCAATATGTCCATGTTCACTCTAGAAGAGGGGCTTAACCCTGGCTTTGTTCTGTGCACAGGTCAGCATGAATTTCAAGTACTTTGGCTTGGAATCCAATTATGAAGTCTCTAAACATAATCTAACCTCACCATAAAATGACCAAAGCTTCTTATAAGCCTTATACCTACTCTCATGTCATTATTGGCACCACTTCATTTGAACAAATTGATACAAAGTCAAGTTATTGAGGTCTTGTAAACCTGGCTCTGGGTTTTATTCAATACATGATCTACACAGTGCATACACACTTGGACCTACTCAAAATCACTTGATCTGGGAGTATATTCAATCCACGACTGTTGAGATGCTACAGTTGGTACAAGCAGACACACAGAAGACCTTGAAGAACCTTTTCTCAATCTTTGGCATGCTTTCATGACATTTCAAGCCCTCATATTGGGTATTCAATTAATATGCATGAAAATCTTGTTGTACTCAAGCAAACCAAACCCAGGGTTTTAGTCATAAGCCCCTCTTCAAGAGCAGATATGGCCATATTAGAAGAGTGACTTAGTTGAGCTTATCTAAAAACCGTAATGAAAAAAAAACTCAAAATCTCAACAATCAAGAAAAAAACCTACTCAACAAAAAAAACTGTCCAACTCCCACCAAAAAAAAAGACAATTAAAAAAGAAAATCTATGAGTTTTGTTTATAAAAATATAACTTTATGAAACATCCAAAAGAAAAACTCATTCTACAATATATAATTGTAATTGAAATTTAGAATTTAAAATCTTGAAAAAGAAAAATGAAAAGAAAAATATATATATAAAAAACTTTAAAATAAATAGAAAAAAAAAGTCATATATTAAAATAAAACCATGCAGAAATAAAGACAAAGGATCAAAAAGAGAGAAAGAGAGAGAGAAAAGCAAGTCTACATTTTTGATTTTGTTTTTTGTCTGTTTGGTTTTGGAAAAAAAAAGTAAGATTTAAAATCTATATATATATATAATGTAAAAATAAATAAATCAAAAGAAATCATAATTAGAAAGATAAATAAATAGTCAGGCAAAAAAAATGACAGAGAAAAAGTCCAATGATGTGTTTTTTTCATTTATTTACTTCAAAGAATCAAACCCCAATTCCCACTCCCACTCCAAAACCAAAAACCAAAACCAGCAAAGAACCTTAAGATTTATATCCTTTCACTCCAGAATCTCCCAATCCATTCCCACTAGGTTTAATCTTAGCAAAAGTATAAACCAAACCAGCAAAGAACCCAATCGAAATAGCCGAAACGTTTCCAATCGAAACTGGATCACCAAAAAAGATCATTCCAGAAGCCGCTACTGGTAATTTATTTAAAGCTCCTACCATCGAATAAGTCGTTGAAGAAGTCGTTCGAACACACCAAGCTGTTGTATAACTTATAAAAACGGCTGCTGCTCCTGAAAAGGCCATGGCTGATAATAAAAACGTTCTTCCTTCGATCGGACTGATTCATTAACCAAAGTCCAAAAAATTCATCAGTTTAGGATTTAAAGAAGAATGTGATGAGGGTTAAAGACTTACAAGTTGGCTGTGAGTGAGCTTTCGGACCAATCTTCGAATAAGAATGAAAAGATTACCAAGACTGGAATCGATAGTAAATTATTATAAAACATGGTATCCCAATCTTTAAAACTAGTCAATTTGATTCTCTTTCTCATCGCAAGTACCTAATCCTCCAAAGAAAGACCAAAAAGAGAATCGAAATCAATCATCGGAATTCACTCTTCTCATCATCTATGAAAAAAAACCTGAAATCTTGAGAAAGAAAACACTTACATAACCAGCACTAGCCAAACAATTAATCAACATCCAAAAATATCCAGCATGTTTTTGTACCAATTCACTATAATTCCCTTGACCGATCGGATCAGAAGCTACACTTGCAGCAGCCAGAGCAGTAGCCGTCACAGGTGACAAGAACAAAGCTGAAGAGATATCTGACCAAGCTGCTACTAAGGAAGATAAAACCATCAGACCAAATGAAATCAAGGTCAGACCGCTAACATGACCTCCGAACCAAATCACTTCTCCATATGCCTAAAAATTCAATTTAAATCAGTTCGATCAGATCAGATTGGATTTTTTCTTCGTCTCTCTAAAGGATGGTTAGAGAAGGGAACCAAAAGCACGTACGATAAGAATGATGGTTAGGTTTTTAAAAATCGTATAGACTGGTATACTTAAGAATTGTAAAGCTTTTGAACCGGTGTAAATCACAATGACTAGTAGAAATGAGATAGGAAACCATCTTTTGGCATCAGAGAAATCAAAATCTCGATAATTGATCAACTAATCATGAAAATCCATCCGGAGAAAAAAAAAAACGCATCGATTAGAATCTTTCTCGTTTGTTTTTCACATGATGATCGGAAAAAGATTCTGGGTTCTTTTTTCTTCTCTCTCGTACATACCTTTAGTGATTTTGAGATTGCTACACATGTTACACAGACTGCTGATTGGATTGTAAGAAGTAAAAAGTTCATGGTAAAGTGATGACCAGAGACCACAAACTGAAAGAGATCGATCCGAAAAGGAAAAAAAAAGTTGATAATTTTGATCAGTTGAAGAATCAAAAGAAAGAAAGAATGAAAGAAGAGAGACATACTTTATTGACCACTGTCATTAAGATACTAGCAGCACAATAAGAAAGTACAGGTAAAGCTGGATGATTTAGAATAGGATCTACAGATGAAGGTGTAGAATGATGAGTCGTATAGGATGGTAAGGTGGTGCTAGGATTAGTGATTTGAGCAGAACGTGATGATTGGTTTCGTTTATGTTCAGGTGAATCTGATATGTTTAATCTATGATTTGAAGTAGGTGAATGTGATTTTGAATGATGATGATGATGATGGTTTGGAGAAGTAGGAGGTGATGATTTTTCCATGATGATGAAGATGAGATGGGTTGGAAGTCGGTTTTGGTTCGATTGGAGGTTTTTGAATATTGAAGGGTTACTAGTTGAGTTTGAGAGGTTGATCAAGTTGGATCGAGAAATCAGTAATCAGTTAGAAGCTCATGAAACTATGTAATCGCAGCCAGTTGAGAATGAGAATGAGAATGAGAATGGTGTTGTTTACCTTTTAAATGTTTTGTTGGTGTTGGCTTTGAGTCGATGAAATCTCAATTACTTTAACCAATCGTTAAAATTTCAGAGTTTGATTGTCTTCAGTTCAATTTAACAAATCCGATTTCTTAAATTTCAATTTTCTCTCTTTCGATCATCTTAAAATAAAAATAACACTGTATTACCATGAGTTTAGTTAACTTTCTAATTTCGATCATCCAATCTTACTTCTTCCTTTCTCAATTCCTTCATCTTCTCCACAAAAACATCAGTTCCATATCCTTTCATTTGTAACTTGATTTCTATCCTCTAAGTTTTAAGATCTTTAACTTATATCAAGACTTAATCATTCTACATATACATAGATCAAATTAAAACCTTATCAACTTTCTTTTCAGATGGTTTGTAATTTATTGAAGATCTTAAAGTATAAGGGTATGTACTTAAAGCAAGTGAAGTACATGGCGCTACATATGTGATGCCACATATGTATGTACCTTCAAATTTTGTTTTTGACAGGCAAAATGGCCTAAACTGATATTTTGAATCACACAATTTGCCAAATATAATTCAATATACCCTTTCCTTTACAATTATGGCGTTCAAACCTGCGCAAGAAATTTGCAAGACCGACGTAAATCTTGCACGGATCTTGCTAATTAATTACAGCTGTTCCCTTAAAGCTTGATAAATTTTCAGATGTTTGCTTGGGCCCTGCCCTATTTTCAAACATAACATCTGTTTTTTTTTGATAAAAGCCCTGTGAATTACAAATAAAAAAAATTAAAATAAATTCAAAACCCTTTGGGTAACGGGCAGAAACCTTGACTGTCACTCACCTTGGGACCTTTCCCTGGTTTTGGTCAACACGTGAACTTCACACCCTAATCCCATCTAGACCAATACATTGTCATCAGTTCTTGTTGACTACTTCCATATCATCAATCCCAACTCCCACGCGGCTCTTGAGACAAAATCACCTCCAAAATGAACTCGGACGATGAATCCATTGACCAACAAGACCTCCTCAATCAGTTTCTCCAACCAATATCCTCCAATCCAATCTTTGATCCTCATGGATCAGCTCCGGCACTTAATCATTCAGCTTCACCAGTGAATGAAAAGACTTTGAAGTCTCCAGACGTTTCTGATCACGAAAGACTTATTAGTACAGTTTTAAATTTAACTCCGGGATACATTTCAGAATTTCATTTGGAATTGGACTCAGAGGAAGATGATTCAGGATCCAGTTCCGATTCCAGCTCCAAGATCGAGATATGTAATGCTCCTTGCATTGTAAAGGCTTCTGCATTGGTAAAAGACCTGGTTCACTCCAAGGACCAGAAGCCTCATATTTCACCAGACCCAGTTGCTCAGCGCCATTGTGTCGATTGGCTTCTTGAGTGTTCTGAAAGCCTGCAACAAAGCATCATGCAATCAAGGAATGGTAAGCTTTCACATTGTTGAATGAGATATTAATTCAATATGCTGATGTTGATTCACTCATAGCACATGACAATGTTTCACTTGAGAAGAACACTGAGAAAACAACTGATAACAAGGAAACCAGTAAGTAGTTTCTATGCTTCCTGGATTTCATCTACCTGTATTTCTAATGATACAGTTTTACAGAGGAGCAAAAGAAAATTGCTGCAACATCGTGGGCTACAGGAAAAGACAAGGATCCAAAAACCATGGGTAAGCAGGATTCCTTGCATCTTTAATTGATCTCAGAAAGACACAGACTGACCCAAAAGCCTTCTCCAAAATCAACAACTTCAGCAATATCTGATCAACATCAAACCACTTTACATTGTAATCAATCATCTCAAGACTTTCTTCATACTTCTAAGCACTCCAAGCACACCTCCAAAAACACAAGTGGACCAAAAGTCAATCACAAAGGACCAAACAAACCAATTGCTCCAACTGAAACCCATCAACCTGCGGTCAAAGAAGAACAATTGAAAAAGAATAAGCATCATAAGCGCCATTCTTGCGAAAAGAAGAAAAAAGAGCTGTTGTTAGAAGTGAAGGATGAGAAGCCACTGTTGGAGGAAAACAAAGATGTGGTGAAGTGGGATGAGACACTAGACTTTGCTGATGTAGTCAAGAAGTTGAAGTCTTCTCAAGGAGGTTAGTTTCTTCATTCCAGATTTGTTTATAAAAATTGCCAGACTGAATTTTATTGGACTGCTTGATGTTTTAACCAGGGGCTAAGAAGAAAAAGCACTCAGCAGCAAAATCAACTTCATCACACAATGTTCGAAAATCTGATAGATTAATCCTAAAGAAACCAGAAAGGGCAAAAGAAGTCAAACAGAGTCATCAATCAGGTTGTGGGCGCACTGTTAATTTTGCAGGCGCGCCAAGGCGTGTTTTTGTGTAATTTTTCGCGCCGAGGCGCCACTTGGCGCGCCCGGCGCGTTTTCTTACAAAAAAACATTGCCAACAACGGAAATGGTGTTTGTACAATGTCATTTAGTCTATGTTTGTATTGTTAGAGCCATCTACCACCACAAACTTACCTTTTGGAGGTGAGAAAAGCTAAAAAGAGCTGTCTCCAAAGCTCACAGCAAGGATCCAGGTCTCCAATATTGGTGACAGGACGTAGAACACCAAAGATCCGGTGTGTTGTTTGGTAGGGCGCGCCGACCCCAATTTTGGGGATTTCTTCTACACCTGGGCGCGCCGCGGCGCGCCTACAAATCGGCGCGCCAAAGCGCGTTTTTTGCACCGCGCCCACAACCTGAGTCATCAAGCAAAGAAGAAATCAAAAAAAGCTGTTGAAGAATCTTCTGAACATACTGAGTCAGAGTCCAATGAAGGTACCCCTGGAACCGACAGTAGTGAGAAAACCACTATTTGTATTTACACTTCCTACAATGTGGTGATCAATTTAAGGGATCAATCAAAGAATTCATATTTAGTAGTTTACCAGTTTATTAGAAAAGTTTAGCAGTGTAGAAAATTCAAAATGGAGGTTTTTGGATCAATTGAAGCCCTTATAGGCTTATGTATTGGTCATCGGGTTATCATTACATCATTTTATTTCACATTACTTATTAAGATCATTATATTTCATTCACAAAGTTATTACAAAAAGACAGAAAGAAAAACATAAGAAAAATTCAAAAATGTAGGTATACAGGTTGGTAAATGGTTTTTAGGGTATTAATAATAAAGTTATGGGTATTATGAGGTTGGAATATGAAAGAACAACATTATCTTATACTGTAACAATTTTAATCTTGACAGTTGATAAGAGGAAACAGAAGTTATTAGAGAAAAGGTACTTTTTTGAAGTTGGTAAACAAGAGGTATACGTGTAGTTTGCATATGTAATGGTGGTAATAGTGAAATTTAAGGTTGCCAAGAGGATTTTCCGGGATTTTGGAGGCTGTAGAGGATGATTTCATATTACATGAGCAAGAAAAAGAGAGTAGCAGCTGTGAAAAGTGAAGAAAATGGGTGAATTTTGTCAAAAATGAAGGTTTTCAGCTTATTACACATGTCAAATGACGTCAGATAGGGTTGGTAGATAGCTCATTCAACACAGAAGAGTGGATTACATAATGTAAAAGCTTTAAACTAATAGTAGCGGAGGTTTATGTAAAATGTTATAAGACAAATAAGAAATTGGTGTGAATCTTGAATTTACAGTCACAAGTCAACATGTAACACTAAAAACCTTAACTTCACAACTCAATATCTTACTCATCACTCATCAAAAAGAGGTCATATGGGTGTCATAAATGATCAGTAACACAAGGGCTACAAGATGCACTTTAGTAATCAAAAATTGGACCTCATCTGAAAAAAATCGTAATCTCAAAATTTGGTTTTCAGCTAGTTTACAAGGAAAAAATCACCTGTATTCATCATGAGAAGTGCTGTACATCATATTATTGTGTCATTGATCAATTTTAGTTGTGAAAATTACATCATCTATTAGTAACAAAATCATTACATTGCGTCATCATATGGTTTTTAGGGATTTTTGGGCAGATTTGATTGGTTTTGAGGCTGTTGACCATTGTAAAAGTTGGAATACATTGTTATATATACTTGGAGATGATTCTGGGACTGTTGTTCCCCTTTTTGCTTTATCATTTACGCAGTTACTATTTTGTTTATCATCATAAACTTATTTTAATAGTACCTGGTCACTTAAATACGCCCTTTATTATAGCTATACAGAGAAATTTACTTTAGTATTATAGTCAAAAAGACTTATTGGGAATAATATCATAAAGATATTGCTTATTTTTCTTCAGTTATCATTTGGGAATAACACTATAGCAGTGTTGATAGTAATAAAAATTGTGCTTTTGAAGTTAAAATACGTGTAAAAGTTATATTTCTCTGGTGCCTTATCTGTACTCAATACAACAGCGCCTTTTCCTGATTGTGTTGTTTTAGAAGAGCAGTTCTAGACAACTTCTACTAGTCATTATATTAGTAGATTATCCTCTTCCAGCTCTGTATAACCCTTGTTGGGTTATAAGCTCTACAATGATCTTTTTTTTCCAGGAAGAGAAGGCAATGTCAGTATCTCGATCAAAGAAAAAAACAACAACCCCAGTCCTAATTTGGAATAAAGGACAACAAGCAAACTCAGATGCCGACAAAACTTTCTCATTTATTGTGAATCATAATGATGCTACACCCAAGGATTTCAAGGAGCTAGCCCTTCCCAAACTCAACAAAATGCTTCAAAATCTGACCAATTACATCAAGTGATTCACGGCAGATCATTTCACTTGGTATGGTATGGACCGAACTAGTGCTCAAATGATCAAGAAGTGGAACATTGAAGAACCTAGTGGTTTCAAGAAATTTATTGACTTTTTAAATTTACATGGTGATGGTGATGATCATTGGCCTTGTATTTGGCTATCTATGATGGATCCTGGCGCTGCTGAACAAAAAAAAATTCTAGAGAAAAAGCAAGAAGATCGAGTTCAAGCATTTTTGACTAAGGATGGTAATTTGATGGGTCGTGATTGGTTGGATTCATCACAACCAACTATGAGACTCTCAGAAGCAATACAAGAAATCTGTTTAACACATTCAGGTCACGGTGGTTCAGCAGTTGATCATGCATGATATGTTGATCCTAGAAATTCAACTTTCTGGTTCAGATTGACTCCCGACAGACTTGAGGTGTGGGCCAAAACCTGGGTAGGCTTACTTATATTCATCTTTAGATCAAATGAATACTAACTTGATTTGTTACCTTGACCAAACACAGATTGATCACCTAAAGTTGAGAAAAAACAATATTGATGCTGATACTCCACCTAAAACTCCAATGTTCAAGACTTGACTACGTGGTAAGGAACCTTTGGACAATGTTGGACCAATCACAGCTGTCTCAGCTCAATCAACCTCTGATACACAAGAAGATGTCTTCTTTGATGACACGCGAATGAATCAAGAGAGATATTGTGGCAAATTTGTGGATTTCTTAAAGTTTGCTTGTATTCAACCAGACAATGATAAGACTCAAACAACCCTGGACACCTTGGGATTGGATCATTGGAGTGCTTTCAAAAAAACCGAGTTCATGACCCCTATCTATCTTTCAGAGCAAGTTTTGACTATTAGTGCAGCTACTATACTTATCTTAGCATATCCTCTCTTTCAAAGTTGTGTCAGTGGGGATATTGAGCTTGGTGGATTTACCCCAATTGATGATTGATATGCTATTGATCCATGTCACCCAATTTATTCTATGTAAGTATAGAACCCATATATATAAAGTAATTAATTGATTCATTTTGTAGACTTGTGCACACTCTGCAAAGGAGTTTGGCCTTGTGAATATTATTAAATAAAAACCAGGGTTCATGTACAGTTGGGTGCTTCACAGCCTTCTTTGTCAGGTGTTTGTTTGTTTTATTTTTATTTCCAATTTTTACAAATGTGATCTTGGTGTAGTAAGAAGAAAGTTATTTCAAGCGGTCATAGTCTAGTCACTACATGCAAGGTGGTGACGCCTCAGGTGCGGGGTCGCGCTGACCTTGGATCAACCCCCCGCTTTTGCAAGACCCCCCCTTAGGTTTTGTGCGGCGTCACCGCAACCCCGCATCCGCGGGTCAGCACTTTGCAATGTGCATGTAGTGAGTGGTATAGGCTAGTGGCCAAGAAAGAATGTTCCTGGGTTCGAATCCCAGGCTTGGAGCATTTGATTCTGAAAGGAAAACTGGAGCTTTGGCTTGTCTCAGACCACATCAGTATCAAACCTCCAGGGTATCATTGATAGCCTTTGTATAACTTGAAGTATGCCCCATTCTTTTTAAGTTTTTCATTACATCCATCATCTCCTTACTTGCTGTGTATTTTTCATTCAACTCACATATTGTTTCTTTTTCAATCAAGTCCCAAAGGACAAAATTACTTCTTCCTTAGCCACCCTCACAAGTATTCAAACTTCATGGCTCTCAAATCAAGTTTGCTCAGTTATTGGAAATTGACAAGGCAGTGATATGAATATAAATTTTCACATATACAGGAGATTGAGAGAAACATGACTAAATATCGTATGACAAAAACAAACTTCACAAAAGAGGTAAAATTCTGAGATTAATTGATGAAACATAACCATATAAAATATGACAAAAACCGGCTTTGCAAAAGAAGTAAGATACCAAGACATGGAAAAGTGATTAAACTTGCCAGCAATATCACCAATTACTGTTGGATATTGAGATGATTCTGTGTAAAATTTCAGGTTGAAAACAAAGTTATTGTTGGTCAGTTTCATATGAGACACAACCAGAATTAAAACCCAAAAGTACCCACCCTAGGATGTTTCCCTCACAAGTAGACCAATCCTTGATACAAAGACCGCATCAATATTGGAGTGATGACCTCCAAGGCAGCCTCCTCTTCTGCGTTTTGGGCGGTGGTCAAGATTTGTGTACGACAAAGGTGATCTTTGATCACAGCAAAAGCCTTTTTGATTTGGTTGAAATCAGGACTGTAAGGAGGAAGGTAGAGGATCCAAACCCCCATTCAAGAGCACAACAACTCAATATTGCCACCATGATGGATTGATGCATTGTCCATGACAATGCAGCTGTTGTCTTGAGGCCATGGATTGGTCATCAGAAGCTGTATAGGAAGATGGTCAGCATTCATTCAAGTTGAGGTATGAGAGACTCTATCAAGAGCTCACCAGATAGTCGGTCAAGAATGTTCCAAAATCAGCTCAACATAGCAATCCTTCCTGTACCATCAAAGCAAGGCAACCACTGAGTGAGACCGCCGGTAATAAGCTATAACGGTTGGAGAATGTAGGCCGTAAAAGCCTTTTGGTGTGATGTCCATGTTTTGCTCTTCCACGCTTGCAATGCAAACTACGTTTTGCTACTGCACTCTCATCTGTATTCACACAAGAAGGAAGTCAGCTTGAAACGATGTATTCAATTGAAAGTCAGAGAACATACCCAAAAAGATCAATGTGCTGATAGGGATACCAGCCACAATGTGTAGATATTCTGATTGGATGTATCCAGATTGGTTTGGATGGACTGTGCGAGCAATCTTCAAAGTCAATGCAAGACAATCTCACACTTCAATTGCAAGCGCTGATATTGAGATGGTAGTCTGGTGAACTTCAAGAAGTTGCTTGGCCATCTCATCTAGATATAAAGTTGGATTGATATCAAGAATTTTGGCTATGAAGGTTCTGTGGTCGGCGGATAAGATTGTTGGAGCTCCACACTTCTTGTAGAAGTTGGGATCACAGATGACAGAGCGGGTGTTGTGGAAGAGTTTGGCTCCATCAAACAAAGGATTGATCTGAGATATCCAAGCGCAAGGTGAGGTTGATGGAAGGATAAGATTGTCCACTCATAAGCATTCCCATCTTTTTTTGCACACCACTTTCTGAAATGAACTTCCGCCAGGTCCTGCTTCACAACCCTATGAATCAGCTAAGATTCTTTCACAATAATCAGTATCAAATAATGAACCAATTACAGCCATTCCTTAATCAGTTGCTTGTCTTTGAAAACTTTTTTTTTCAACATTTTCAACAAAACACATATCTTTAAATCCTGTAATTAACTCCCAGTAGGTCTTGGACACAGGTACTCAGTTATGCTCTGGGATGGTTGTACAAGCTGGTTTTCAGAGGTTACTTGAGACATATTAAACTTCTTGGTAACTTCACTGAACCCCTTCCAAGACTAATGCTCTACAGAAATCTCAGGTTTTATTGGGTCTAACATAGATAATTCATTGCTACAAGCCCTTATTTTTGCACTCCAACCCTCCCACAGAGTATTCAAGCACTGTAGCAGGTATCCAAGACCCAAGAGCAGCTGACAACAAAACATTTAAAATATAAAAATTCTTCAAACTGTTAAGAAAAGCTTAAAAAAGTCATAAGTCAAGTAACCAATCAAGGAACATCTTTATGATTTAATATGTTTCCTAAATCTTCATTTAATTACTTACAAAAGTTTAAATCAAATTCATCATGAGCCAAAAGATGATCAAAATGAGGTTTTGTTCCCCAAGAAACTTGTTAAAGACTATGATACTTAATCCTATACATTTAAAAATGGAAACTCTATTAACATTTAATTGTTTTCAAACCCAATCATCCATACACAAGTTTTCCTCAGTTACATGATGTGTGTGTACCAAGCTCATTAATCTTCTGAAACTTTCAAATCCTCATTTCCCCGTTTTCTTTGTACAAAACATTCATCCCCTTTTGCAAAATAACAAAAAACACTTCAGTAAAAGAAATCAACTTTTTTATATCAATTTCCAAATCATCCATTTCAGAAAAAAAAAATCAAAAAAAAAGTAACATTCAAAAGAGAAAAACATTCAAAAGAGAAAAAGAGAAAAAAAAGTGTTTTATTGAAATTGCTTTGAAAAAAAATTTAAACCAAGAAAAAAAGAAAATGAAGAAAAACAAAAAACAAAAAACAAAACAGAAAAACTAAATATACTTGTATTCTAAATCTAAATTTCAAAAAAAAAACCTTATAAAACCTTTCTTCTTTTCAAACGCAACATCCGATTCAAATTCTTAAAGGCACCATTTCAAACACCCTAAAAAACCCATCCGTATCTTTAATGACCAAATGAATTCTTCTTTCACCTTCATCAACTTGACCTACCCCGACCCCCCCTGCGCCACCACTCCCATACCCCTGTCCAAGTCCAGTAACATGAACCGTACCATCATCACCTAAACTACCACCATCATACGTACAATTCATCCCATTACCTAAGATCAATTGAACTCTCTTCGAACTCAACGTATTCCAAACTTCTACCAATGTGTTCGAGAACCCAATCACATAAGGTGATGAATATGCCACCGAATTCGGTTTTCCATCCCAATTCATTATACAATCATATTTATCAATCAATGGATCTCCATGTTTATCTGCAAAGAATGCGAATTCTATACCAAAATCATTCGATTCAGTTTGAGCCGTTCTTTGTGGGGATCAACGAGAAAAAATCAATCACTTACCATCATAACATAATAAGAATTCATTTTCACCTAATCTAAACATTCCTAATGGTCTAGACTCATCACATCTTCTTTGTAATGAAACCAATCTAGGATCGATTTGTCGGATCTGATGAAAATCAGGTATACTTGCAGTCTTTAATGTATCTAAATTCATAATCTCAAATCCTCTTGCACAATGTATAGCTAATGTACTACGTAAATATTGAATGGCATATGATTCTGATGGAACGAAAAATTCCTACGAACGAAAAAAACCACAAAACCAAAAACCAAAACCAAAACCAAATCATTAGTGATTTCGTTTCTTAACTAGATTTTTCAATCATCATTAAGAACATCAACATTACTCAACTTTATAACCACGAAATGATTCAGATTTTTGTCCTCCAATCCCAAAGAAACCTCTAGAAGTTGTTGTCTTGGGTTTATCTGTATTCTTTACAGGTTCTAAAGCTTTAAAAACAGTTTGATTCACTCCTCCTTTCTTAACATCTACCATTGCCCCCCCACCACCAAAAAATCATCTTAGTTGTTTTTCAAACATATCTCTTGAGAATCAAGTCACATAAAACTTACAAATCACTAATGTCCTAGGTCCAACTTTCCCACACCTAAAAAACAAAACATCTTTATTCCCACTCAATCGACTAGCAATAGTCCCATTGCCTCCATTCCCACTTCCTCCATTCCCTCCATTTGTACCAGTGATTCCATTTTTCTTAGCTTGAGATAAACTATTTCTAGAAGGAACCAAACTTTCCAAAGGATAAGCCAATAAAATCTTTTCAGCCAAGACCAATAAGAATCCGAATTCTTGTAAAACTGCACATTGTGTGATTGATCTGATATGAATCACTTGTCTAACTGAACTTGGATCACTTCTTAATCCAATCCAAAGTCCATCATTACATCCGATTGCTACTAATTGTTTTCCATCACTAGATTTAAATGGAACTGAACATGTAGGTGTCTGAATTGAAACAAATTGAAAAAAAACGGTATGGTAAATCAGTACGTGTCAAGTGTATGGTTCATAGTGACAAGCTCCAAGACTTACACCGTGCATATTTGAAGCAAGTTCACTACCCGAGACCGACATGCTATTAGAAGATGCACCGACAGACGATCCAGGAGCATGAGCACCATTATTCAAAGACCCACTACCACTACCACTTCCTGCACCATTCGGATTTGATCCAGAAGGAAGATTGGAATTAGAACCAGAAGTATGAGTAGCAGCAAAAGTTTGATCGGTCATAGGATGTAAATCAAACACTTTGAAAGTTTCTAATATTTGGTTTCTCATTCCAATAGCTTCTTCAAATTTCGATTTCCAAGTTTGTCTGAGTCTTTCAGATTCAAGATAAATTACAATCGAATAGGGTTGTCGACCAAGTGAATGGATCGTCAATGGGAAAAGTAACGTTCGATCTTCTTGATTTGAATTCATTGAATTATAATTCACTTGATGATTTCCAGTGGGATCACTATTCCCTCTCTCTAATCCTTGACTACTACTTCCACCACCTCCTAGAGTCCCCGTAATATTTCGTAACCCTCTTGATTTTCGTTCACATGGTTCATTAAAGCCTGATACCCTCAGTAATTCTAACATGATCGGTTGTCTCCAGATTTGATATCTTACATTTGTGTCATCTACCTTTTTCATCTTGGTCATCAAGAAATAATGATCGAATAACATCACATTCAATTCGGTCCATTCTGACAGTCCGGTGCTACCTTCTGGTTTCCTCACAACTTTCCCACTATAGATCAACTGTCGATTGGGCGATAAGAGTTGCAGATCCTGACATATTGAGACCTGCTTGTCAGTGAAAGTCATGTGGGTATAGGTAAATTGTCAACTCACCGGCGTATCTTGCTTGACCACAATTTCATCATTCAGTCTAATCAGATTCAATTTAGCTTGTTGAAGTTCAACTGATAAATTTGCATCTTTACATTGTCGTTTGATCACTTCTATTGCCGTTTCAATATTCGAGCGATCTTCATGTCCTTCTGGTGTTTTCCTCAATAAGTTATCCAACAAAAGTATATATCGTTGTAATCGTACTGATGCTCGTAAATAATAATGTTTGAAATCAGCTCGCCTTGAACTTTGTTTGGGGATTTGCTAAAGAAAACTTAAAACATGTTAATTTCTCATGTTGCTCTTTCTTCAAGCAATTTGTCAAAGTGACCCTGCTTACGTTCAAAAGATCAGCCAATAAGGGGTTGTGCTTCTTCTCTTCATTAACTTCAACCTCTCCAAAGACATGATCATTTGTATACCGAATATAGTCATTACCCCATTCGAGAGCAGAGTTCAGGATCAGATCTCCAATTCCTTTGACAAGTGGATGTTGATCCTGTTGACGTGCGATCAAGGTTTGTAACAAGACTCGGTTATGGTCCCTGATCACTAGTACATTTGAAACCACTTTCTCTAAAAAGCTTTGTACTCGAGCCGGTGGAATAATAGAGACTGTTTTGATAGGATTAATAAAGAGCTACACAAAAAGCATTAGTTCTGAATTCAAAAGTGTAAAGCAAAGTCAAAAAGGATGAACCTTTTCAAACTCATCCAGATCTTGAACATAATCTTGTTCACCAGAGATAATTTCATAAATGATCGATTGACGGGCAATTTCCTTCGAATCTAAAGTTGACAGCAATTCCTTGGGTACAACCGAAGCCCAATCTTGCGTTTGGACTACCGTTGCTGGCTACAAACACAAACTTCACCACATCAGTATTTGACAACGCTGAGGTGAAGATTAGTACTGACAGCAGGTGTATCTGAGACCAAATTATTAGCCAGCAGACTAGTTGTGCGTCCCAATACCTAAATGATCCAACAAAATAACGAATTGTTCTCAACATCAAGACCAAGCTCTCATGAAGAACAGAGAGATAGGTACCCACCGAGTCTCGCTTTTTCCTCATCGGACAATCATAACTATAGCAAGCCCCAATGCCTTCAGATGAAGATCCAATCCCAATACTTTTACACCCAAACGAATAACACTTGGTCAAATTGGTCAAAACACCCTGTGGAAAATAATTCTCTTGACCCGATTGATTATTAGGCAATTCATCATCTGGAAACATATAAACTTCATCAATTTTATCATTCAAGACGATCTCCCGATTCAGGTTGTTCACTTCATGAAAAAATAACTCTGATAATAATTTCCGTGAAAGTGAGAGGGCTAATTTTCGATTCAAGGTGGCTTGTGTGGTGGATTTAGTGGATGGGTTGATGCGATTCAGACAATGTGTGATAGTAGACTGTTGAGCATGATACACAAATCATAAAAAGTCAGTCGCAATTCCTGTTGGAGTTGGATTCCAATCAAGTAAATGACTCACAACAGCCTCTCGACCGGTGAAAGCGAGGGGATATTCAATGCTACCTTTGATTTTAGTACCTTTGGGAACATTATCTTTCAAGAATTTTCCAATATGACTCATGAGAGCTAAATTGAAATTAGGATCCAAGTTGAGTTGTGAAGACCTTGATAGAGCTTCACTTCTAAATCCACTGGCTGAATGACTAACCAACCTTCGGCTTCGATCTACTGATAATCCTCCTAAATAGTTCTGTGATCCTTCATTGTGTCCTGATGCAGAATCTCGTGGGTTTCTTGAATTCGATTCTTGTTGGTCGTCCGGTCTTGAGTATTCAGTTGATGGTCTAGTAGTATAAATATGTAAAAGTGATTGAAGGTCATTATTGTCTTCATCTTCTCCCCCTCCCGTCAGTTTGGGACCATTCAAAAACATATCCCGATCAGCAACATTGATCGTTTTAAGTTGATTGTCAAGATCTTCTTGTGGAGGATGATCTACCGAAATGTATTCTGATTCATCTGCGTGGGGAAATTCTTCCGGACGATCCGGTGATGTGAAATGTATAGGTCGAGTTCCAATCCTAGTGGGAATGGAATGTGGACCAAGAGGTGAATCATAATCATAGGATTTGTTAGTATAAGTAACGTTTGTTCCCATGATAGGAGCCCGCTTTGACTGATATTGTGGGGAATGTGATGAATGTAAAGAATTGGTAGGTGACTGAAGATCGTGACTTGGACGATTAGGTGATTGTGAAGATGATGAGGTAGCTTGATTTGATGAACTTGGATGATAGGAATGAGGTAAGTGAGGAAAGGGCCTTGATGTAGCTGATATCGGTGTTGTAGGCGAAGGAGACAATTGTTCGATGTATTGTCCAGTACTGTTTGGCTGAAGGGTTGAGGCTACAGGAAAAGCGTGAATGGTATGAGCATCTGATGATGTATGAGTATGAGTCGAGTTTGATACATTAGAGCGAGGATTGGGCAAAGGACGTCGAAAGAAATTCAGAGGTGAGCTAGAGGATGAGAGGGATGATGATTGATTAGATCTTCGAGGATGTGAGGATGATGATGCTGATGATGAGGGTTCAGGAATAGATTCAGATCTTGAACGAGATGATAATGATTGATAATGAGTCGAGGTGGGATTTCGTGGAGGCAATGGAGGAAGTTGATTTGAATCATGATTAGGATGATAAGAATGTTGTTGGAGAGGTTCGATGTTATAATTGTTTGGTAATCGTGGAACTGGAGGTAAGTTTGGAATCCGAGAGACTGATTCAGATTTCGGATTGGATGAATGATGAGATTTGTTTGATGAGAAGACAGGCATTGAGATTTTTCGTTGAAATGGTCTGTTTGGAATCTTGGGTGGAAGAGGAGGAGGTGATTTTTGAGCTACTGGAAATGAGATTGATGAAGTGTTAGTAGGTTGATGGTGATTTGGTTCAGATGAGTTTGGACTTGGTGTTCTTGATGCATCCGTCTGTCTCATGGTCTCTTCAATTTCCTTTTTTGAATGTGATTTGAAGTGATTTGGTTTGATGTTGATTTAATGTTGATTTGATGATAAGAGAGATCAGAAGCCGTGAGATGAAGAATGAGTTGATTGAAAGTGGTCAAAGTGAAATCTAGATTTAAAGGGTTTCATGAAGATTGGTGAATTGAAGAAGAACGTACAAGGAGTAAACTATCGAGTGGATAGGAAGTAGAGTTTTGAATGGGTGGTAAAGAAGGACAAAGTGAAGTTGAAGCTGATTGATTGGTTAGTTGGTGATGGTTGAGATGGTGATGACGAATCGATTTCAAACAAAATGGTCAACAGGGTAAGTCAATCAGTTTCAAGATTCCAGTCATTCTCACTCTTCAGATTGGTAAATCTCAATTCCAGATTAGATTTCACAATTCACAGTCACACTCACAATGTTGATGATCATGAATCTGATGGTAGTTTTGATTGAATTCTTGGGTTGGATTTGATTCTGATTTGTTGGATGGTAAATGATGATGATATGATTTGCTTTCTTGATGATTCATGATGTTGAGTATGTGTGATGAGTCACTGGTTTGAATGAGAAAGTGTGAGATATCTTCTTGATGTTTATGTTGTCAACTTGTCAATGCTACTTGAATTCTCTTCAACTTTGATTCCTCGGAGTTTTCGATGGAATCTGATCTTGAACAGCAGGATCGCTGGTGCCCAAAACACATAACCTCAAAATTTCCCAGTTAACTTTCATACCTAGTATTTCAACCCCAGGTTTTGGGAGTGCCGTTAACTAAAATTTGGTAGTACAGCCGTTCCAAGAAAGGTTGACGTTGGTTTTGTTGAGTTTCTTCTTTTCACAAAGTTGAGCAATATGGCAGGAAGAGGTTCCTCCAATGACAATCTTGCATCCTTGTGACCATTCATCTCACATCTTTTGAAATACATCTGCTAAAGCCTTTATGATCGTTTGGCTTTCATGGCTAGCGGTGAGAACAACTTTTTCTAGATTTGACATTGTCAGGCTGTGGCACATCAGGTGCAGTTACAGCCAATTTGAAAATGATGAACCACTTTTGTTTGGGAAAAAAGTTGTTACCACAATGGTCAAAACCAACCAAAAAACAACTTTACAGGGTCTGCATTCTCTGAATTCTCAAAATTAGCCAAGAAACAAAACTCAGTCAATTTGCACCAAGATGCACTTTTCAAAAAGAAAATCAATCATTCTCAATTTGGCTGTAAGTTGATTCTAGAGAAAACTGACAATACCAATCACAGTCAAACCCATGCAATCACATAACTTTGGTGGAAGACTTTTGGTATGCATTTTGACAGATCATGCAATTCTGTTATCAATTTTGGCAGTCAAAAGCATCAAGATTCAGGTTTTTTTCTATGCATCATCACAGGTTATGCAACTGCACACAATACCTGAACCGCACCGCTGTGATCCGCTAATTCTCAATTTATTTGCAACGGTATGAATACCCACTACATGTCAAACACGCTCACGCACCGCTTGAAATGCCGACGCGCTACATGTCCAGCGCAGCGCGGCGGGTTTGAGACACACGCGCGCCCCGCTGCAGAGATTTTCCTGGCCTCAGAGCGTGAAGTGTGTACTATTCACAAATTTTTTATTTTTTTTATTAATATGGACATTTGAAGTAATACATACACAAAGAGCAATATAAGAGCCAAAGAAGATTAGGCAACCATGTTTTCTGCCAGACCGATAAAGAAAAGTTCAAGACATTGATAAACGAGTGACAACAAAACCAAGAAACAAGAGGAGGGGTGTAAAAAGACCGATACAAAAGGTCAAGGAACTTGTTGAACAAGTGAAAATACGACATATAAGTAAGAAACAAGAAGGACATTGACCAGGAAAGTATAACATAAATAGAATTCGAGCAACACCACCGGCGCCCCGCCCAAGATAGTGGCAGCGGAGCGCCCGCGGTGCGACTTTTACAGCGGTATTATCCGGCTGGCACCATAGCGGGTTTTGAGCCCTGCTACCGCTTGCTTCAGTACCCAAAAAAATGTAGCGGTTTTTCTATCCGCCCACTATAGCACATTGGCGCTGTGCTATGACTACATATAGCGCTCAATAGCGCATGGTCAGATCATAGCGTGTGGGCGGTTCATAGCGCCCTGGGGCGCTCATATAGCGCCTTGTATCTGGAACTTCTCCACCTAACCCTTTCAACCACCATCTATGTACTCAACACACCAATCAACGATCTCCTCCGAGTCCAATCATTCATCTAATCAACGATCTCATCCAATCATTCATCTACTCAACACACCGGTAATGTACCCAAGCAGTATTCACCTTCCATCCATCACCACCACCTAATCTTGCTACCAGATCACTTTGACGCCTCTCAGTCTGAGTACCATCCGATTCCGTGGACAATGTTGCTGTTTCCTGGTTGGTCGGAGCCATATAAAATGGCTTCAGGTAAGTTTTTCGAATTGACTAAGGCTATAGAACTCGCCTGTCTTTCTTTACTGAAACCTATCTTCATATTTAGACCAATTCCTTTCAATTCGATCTATAATCTCGACTTCATATTTAGACCAATTCCTTTCAATTCGATCTATAATCTCGATATATTTTCAACTTCAAATCATGTCTTTGAACTCACTCTTCCCGCCTAGTGCATCCTCTATTCGTAACCTTAGAACCCGTAGTCCTGTACGAGCTCGACCTGGGTGTGTTATCCATTCACCAGACTCCCGGCTGGCCCTCCGAGCACCCAGCGAGGACGAAGTCAGTGATTCACCTGATCATGAAGAGAACATCTCTTCGGCACCACCATCACCAACTCAAGCTGGTCCCTTGCAAGTCAAGAAGAAATTCTTGAAAGGGGCTGGGCATCCTTCACGCCGCGGCCAGGGCAAACGCAAAAGTACTGCATCACGTAACTCGTCAGCCTCATCTCCACTCTGCTCCCCAAAGCTTGTGAAGAGGAGAAAGGCTGCCAACTCTGTCCTTCAGGTATGTATACTTTTATCTACTTCATACCTTTTTCTAAATGTTTTGACATATTGATTTTTTCTGATTGATTTTCTGTTTGTATATAATAGGACTATGAAGTACCGGCCGGTCTTGATGTCAATCAAGATTCCGACGTGCAGTTTGAGCTTGAGCCTGGCGTAGTTTGTGCAGCCGGAGCTAGACGAGGTCACCTTGCCCGAGTTGCTAAGCTCCTTGAATACTTTGAGAAGCCGATCCATGTGACAGGAGAGGTATGTAATGACTTTCATCTTCAATCATCACATCTCTCCCATTCCTGTTGAGAGATTGCTAACGTTTTCAACAGGTTGGAGATGACCCTCGTAGGTATCGGTGTCGATGGTGTGGCGAGTATTACACTCGAGGCAAGCGCAGCCACTACAACCTATACACTCATCGAGATGGTGGTAAGGATCGACCACCTTGCCGGAGACGAAATCTCGCCATCCAAAGTGGTCATGACCTGCCTCCAACATGGAGGGAGCAGCAATCGGATATCGTTCAAGTAGGAAACAACAATTCCAACCACACACTCGACTTGTTTTTATCAAAAAGCTCATTCAGTGTTGAGCTTTTCAACACTGTCTTGGTGTTGTGGATTCTACGTCATGCATTACCTTTCTCACGATTCCATGACCCGGCCCTCCGAGCTGCCTTCAAGTTATCAAATCGATCAGCTAATCTTAGAGGAACCACTTGGGTGTCAGAGACAGCCAAAAGTATATACAAAGATCTTTCTTCAACTGTAATCAAACAACTTCAAGTAAGTGTCCACTTCTATCAACATCTTTCTCAAATCCCAGCATACTGATGTGATCCTGGTGTGATTTAAAGTCAAACAGAAGCAAGTTCTGTCTTATATATGATGTCTGGACGACCAAAGGTCGACGCAAGGCATTCATGGGAGTTTCTGCTACTTACATCGACGATGAGTGGATGTTCCAATCCAATCATCTCACTCTTAAATTGATTACCTGGCACCATTCTGGGCGTCTTCTCGCACAGCCAGTTGGTCGATTTCTAATCAGTCACGGGCTACATAAAAAAATAAGTATTTTCACCTTTTTTTGGTCTTATTTAATTTGATATCTCGATTTCCTCATAACTTGTCCTTCATTTAATATACAAGTGCTGACATGTA